CTATTTTTCACCAAACTTGGTGGAATTTTTCCCAAAAAAATAAACAAAAAAGGTGAAAACGAGGTATGACGCAAACAAAATACTCATTTTTATGTGTCTTTTTTCTTTTTTTTGGCAGTGATGAATGGGTTGAAGTTTGACTGAACTGACCACCATAACTGTTTATGGTTTAAAAACACACTCAAACGAGCCAGTTGAGGAAGACTTCGTAGAAAACTTTGCTGCAGAGGTCTAAAAGCTTTGAGACATGTAATTCACCACCAGAGAACAAAGTTAGCAAAAGACTGTTCACCACTTCTCTTCTACGAATAATTCTATATATATGTGTGTGTGTTTATGAGTGTGAGTGAGAAAGAGACAGAAGCACATAAAACTAAGCTAAACTAGGCAATACACCCACGCACTCTCACACACAGTATGTCATCTTCCTAAGCACATGATACGTCCATCAGCCCCCTCTTTCTCTCTCACGCGCACACACACACACACGAGACAGAGAGAAACCTCATTGTGAGCGCGATTCAGAGTGACAGCTGACCTATGAATCGCTGACTCACTCCTTCACTGCTCAGGCAGCGATGCACTCTCTTTGATAGGCAAACAGGCCTTAGGGGGCCTACACTGCTCTGAGCGCAGACCGCAAACTGACCGCTGATCAGACTGAGAAGGAAGCAGGGCTAAGGCTGTTTGTAGGTCAGTGTCTTCTGCGTGAAGCTGACCGCAGGACGACAGTTGAGCACAGGAAGAGTGTGCGTGTGTGCTGGGGGGGGTGGGGGGGTTGGGTGAATGGACAGCTTCTAAAATGAGATGATGTAAGTCACTATCTCTATATAAAGAAAATGATAGAGAGAGAGAAATAGAGTGAGAGAGAGAAACTCAACAAGAAACTCCCTCCTATGACACCACTGACTATTCCCTACAATCAAATGACTTATTTTGTTGATTTTCTAAGTGAAAATAAGTTAACACATCCTCTAACTTCTGCACATTTTAATGTCACTGTTTAATTGCTGAATTTAATACAGAAAATGGGGCCTGTGCAAGTTATGGCACAATTAATATTTCATGTTTTTTTTTCTTCCAATATTTTAAACTCAGCAAATTATTAGAAATTGTGCACTAAAATTTGATGAAAAATGCCTTATTTAAATTTATTGCCTGTAGAAACTGTGCTAACGTATTTTCACATCAACAAAGCATGTCATTTGACTCGAGGTATTAAAACTTTCACGTTAATTGTATTTAAACGTTAAATATTTTGTTGACTTGTTGTTGTCCTTGATGTCATTATTATCAACAATGATGAATTTTTATGGTCAATTCTGATTTTTTTTTTTTTTTGGGGCCAATTTTTAACAGTACTTTGTTTGAACCCACACACTGTGGACTAAATGAAACACACCAGCAGATTTCTTTTTTAATAGCCAAGTTCTCGATATAAATAACATTATTTGCTATTACATTATGTGCAATACCAAGAAATTTGCAGGCCATCAATATTGACGTTTTACTGGCTAACTGATCGGCTGGGTTCTACTAGAGAGAGAGGGAGAGGGAAAGAGAGAGAGAGAGAGAGAGAGAGAGAGTGAGAGAGAGAGAGTGAGTGTGTGCTTCATCACGTGACCAACACAGAGAAACCGAGTAGAAAAAAATAGATGAGAGCAGCGAAAGAGAAAGTTGACAGTTTGTTATCAGCAGACAGATCTGGCACAGATAAGAGCAGAACATGTCAGCTCTTCTTCTTTTAGCTTTCTTCAAGAAAAGAAAAAAAAAGAAATGCCAGACTATACAGGCCTTCAACTTCAGCAGCTGACGGAATGTGTATCTGTGTTTTAAAGGGTGAGAAGATGAGGAGACAGACTCAGGTGAGGGAGGAGGAGTATAATGTGATTTCTCAATGCTTTTGTCACATTTATTTTAATATGTGAAGAACATGATTTAAAGCCAAGTTTTTTTTTATTAATTTTATTTTGCTTGTGTCACAAACTACCACTTGAAGCAAGCAAACATATAAATAGGACTATATTTGCATTTTTATGTTACTTTGATGAAACAAATTAATAATAAGGCCCTAGGCATCTGAAAGACATTCTGAACATGTGTGCATGATCACAGAAGCTCACAGGAACTTCCATACTATGATAGAAAACACAGTAGCACACAGAAATCTCCACCTGGTCATACATATTACTGCCCAACAAGAACATGCACACGTCCCAACTCCTCGGACAGCAGGTTTAAGTGAGTTAAAGAACATATTGCCAAAAGTAAAAAAAAAATGGAGAGAGCCAGAGAGAGAGAGTAAGAGAGAGAGAGATAGCTATAAAGATGGAGAGAAAAGAAAGAGAGAAATATAGAGAAAGAAAGATATTAAGAGGGATGTAACAATAAAGAGAGAGATATAAAGAGAGCGAGAAAGTCAGAAAGAGGGAGAAAGACAGAAAGAAAAAGAAAAACGAAAGAGAGAGACAGAAGATAGAGATAAAAAGATAAAAGAAGAGAGTGACAGAAAGAGAGAGGGATTATGAGAGAGATATAAAGACAAGCAGAGAGAGACGAACAGAAGACGATGAGAAAGTAAGAGTAAAAATGAAACAGAGAGTGTGAGAAAGTGGGTGAGAGAGAGCGAAAGTGAGGAAGAGAGTGAGAGAGATTGAGACAGAGGGACAGAGAGAGAGAGAGATACAGAGTGAGACAGAGTGAGACAGAGAGAAGGAGAGTAAGAAAGATACAAAGACAGACAGACAGAGACAAAAACAGAAAGAAAGAGAAAATCTGAGAAATCAAGAGACAAACAGAGAGAGAAATATATAGAGAGGGAGACAGAGAGATAGAGAGAGAGAGAGAGAGAGATAAAGAGAGAGAGCCAGTTTATCAGGCTGTATAAGAGGGAGCAGATGCTGACACTGAGGCACTCTGACACTTCCACAGCCCAGGGAGTCACAGCATGCTAGTGCAGTGTGACAGAGAGCAACCTTTAAAGGCCAAACACTCAACAACACACACACACACACACACACACACACACACCTCTACTACATTCACTACAGCTTCACCAGACATGTAACAAAAAGCACTGTAAAGCAGAGGAATAAGCAGTCCCAGCATTAGAGCTCTGTCAACAGCAGCTCAACAGTCAGATGCTGAAAGAACGATGGTAAAAAACTTCACATCACTCCTCTCTCTTCTCTCTTGTCTGTTATAAATGTCAGCGCATTTGTTAGTTGAAAGTGGCTGGATTGGCTGAACAGAAAGGGCAAAACCTGTTACTTCATCATCAGTCTGAAAGGTCTCTTCCTGACCTGCTCACAAATGATACGGAGGACAAAAGATGAACTAAAATTCTCTACTGCCACCTACAGGCCACATGCAGTACAGCATGAAAAACATATTAGAGTCAACGGCTGCTGAACTTAATGGCTGTCATGATCTTGTGAGTCAAACTCGTGAACTATAACCTGCACATGAGACCTATTCACTCACTTTGGGCTGTTAAAGGAACAGCCAAACAGTTACCAGTCAAACGCGTTTTGCACAAAAGTGCAGAAACAGTTTACCATATTTACCTGGTTAGTTCATGTCATTGGTCACCTTAAGCACAAATTTATATAATTTAAAAGAATAATTATTGATTTCTGGTAACCTTTGCGTAGCACCTTTTGCCCACCTGTCTATTTGTCTTCTGAATGTTAGCAACAAGCAGGAGAATAATACTACGGCAGAAGGTTAACCAGCACAGTGCAGGTGGGAGCAGGTTAATGTACACATGCAGAGAAATACTACAAATGAATGAATAGCCAAAATAAAATGAGAACTATCACTTAACAATTGGCATATATAAATAATATATAATAGCAAAATAACAAAAAATTATGAACTCCATCTAAATATATGTTCTAGCTAGTTCTAGAAGCCAACCAATCACATGAACAATCACGTGAATCACATGAAATCCTTTCTTGTAAGTTACAGAAAGGGCAGAGCCTTCAGACAGTCAGGTGGTCACAGCTGTGCAAAGCACTTTTAAGAAAGGTGAATACAATCCCCCCACCCCCCCACCTATCATAGAGCAAAAATGCTGAGCTAGGCCAGAGACCCTCCCTAATACTGCATTTTACTTGGAAAATATGTCAGAATGCAAAAAGAAAATGTGTTATGATTTCTAATTCATGCTGACTTTAAAGCTACCCTATGTAAGTCTTTGGGGATTTGGAGACATCTGTGCTGGAAATATGTAAATGCACGCAATGTGCAGATGAACATGGACGAATTGACGAATCTGATATATCACAAGCAAGTTGAAAGAGTATTCAAAGAGAACTGAGTCAAAACTTGCTGAAGGGCGTGTCTTGTAAGATGTAAGTGAATTATCTACTATTGTCATCATAACTTCATCAGTTTAATGTTGATTTTGCATTTGAGACCTAAACTTTGAGCTGGATCTTCTTTTTGAGCCTGTGTGTGTGACGTTAATAAATACAGACATATGAAGTCGTCCAAAAACTCCCGCAAAATCCAACCGGAACCTCTGACTTTTAAATTACTCTTTCTTTTCAGGTGACCTGCAGCAGCGCATGCCCACCAAATCTTAGCATTTATTTTTTCTTCCGAACTCAGTAATGCTATGTTTTAGCCATGTAATGTACTTCTGTCCATTTTATAGATAACAGTATGTCATACAGTGTCAGAAACCACATAAGCAAGTCTTCTTGAAATTACTTAACAACTTGCAATTTATGACAAATGTGTGATAGTTTATGGATGCACTTTGCACAATGCTTTCCTGCATGATACTACATACTTTTATTACTGTTATGGAATATTATCTAATCATTATATACATTTGCTTCATAGCTCTCAGGGCAAATCTAAAGATTTTAAAAACTCAAGGTGCTAAACTTGTCTTGGCTGACCGACCACTTTGGGGACGAAGGGAAATTTGTAAAAAAAAAGTCTTAAGCGTATGAAGGTGAAAGGTGAATATAGAAACAGAATCTGACCTCTCATAGATGGTCTTAAGCGTGACCTGGTCCGAGACAATATCATTCTCCTCAAGGAAGAGGATAAGCCAAGAAGTCCGATAGGGCCACTCCTCCGTCAGGTTGATCCATGATGCCAAACGGTCCCAGTTAAAGATGATCTGATTGGCTCGGAGGAGCCGACCTGAGAGCACACATTGTAAGTTACATCAAGAAGTGAAGGGGAATGTAAGCCATATGCCAGCTGTGTCATTACAATGATGTGTAATAATTATAACACATTTTCAAAGTGTACTATATGAATTCACTAATTAGAAGGGGTGTCTGGATACTACTGGACTATTCATGAGCATCTTGTTAGGGAATTATGGAAAAGTATTGAAAAAAATCCACAGGGATAAATATTCAAAGTATGCAAACGTTATGTTATAACAATGTTTATACGCAAACTTCACCATCAGCTTGTTTAATATTAGCCAGTGTACAGTCTTTTCACCGTGTAGGAAATTTGTGTGTCAGTAACCTGTGACTGATACAATGTTGAGCAGTCTCCTCATGGTCTGAGGGCTGATATCACTGAACCAGTCCTCGGTGACCAGCAGCTTGGTCAGGTCAAAGGACATCTGACGTGTGACTGTGCGCTGCATCTGACGCCGCCGGTACGTGTCCTACACACCAAACAGACCAAGGAACACAGGAATAGTTCAGCACAGAGAGATTGCATGTGCCCTGCAATTGCTTAGTACTTACAATTAAGTAGCCTACTGTAAACCGAGATTTTTAATAACATTTTAACTTAAGGCTTCCTACATAGGGACTTCACAACGCATGCATATTTTTGAGTTCTTTTTCCTCTGAATTACATATGTCAGTAGCATTTCATAACACTACATAATCCCACAAAAATAATGCCTGAAGCACCCTACGCTAAACCAATAAGTCCCCGGGCAAGACTCCTAACACTACATTCGCTTAGATTATAAGTTGCTCTGGTTAATGAAGAAAAATGCCATACATGTAAATGTCAGGAGTACTTCAGAAGGAAGAAGACTTGCTTGAGGTTTTCAGATTGGCTTCAGATTAGATTAAAAGGCACTGCACTTAAAGCAGCTTCTTCTTCCTGCGACTAATTCAATATTTTGCAAATCCTTCGCCTGCGTATAGACAGTAGGTTTAGCTGGTAAGCCAAACAAATTAAGAGTAATTTGATACATCAAGGTTTTATTCAAACTGATTTTTAAACAAATTGATTTTATTGACAGCAGTTTGAGCTTTTAATCTTATTTTTCATTTTACACTGAATTTTACAAAGAAATCCAGTAAACACGTGAACATTAAATTTTCATTAGTAAAAAATTATTCCTTACAAGTAAAAACTGAATTTTTACTAGTCACCTTTTAATATTTACTAGTGGAATTTTAATCTTCACATGTGCAAACTGAACTCATGATTTCAAGAATTAAATATTGACTAGTTGAAATTTAATGTTCACAAAGCTAAAATGGCTTGCCATAGTACTTTGAATTTCAGCATGCCAATTTATTATTTAAATGTGTGGAAAAAGGCCTGAATTCTTACAAATTTGAAATCATACATGATAAAATATATTTCCTACAATTAAAAGTCGAAATATAAGGTAATTACAAGGTTATAATCAAATTTTTATATGTGTCATTTTTTCTAGTATTACCAATATTTTCTGATAAAGAAACTTTATTTCTTGACTAAAGGTTAAAAGTATCTGTACCAAACAATGTACTATTATTTGGCAGCACTTCTTCCCTTAAAATGTGTAGCTCCTAAGAATTTAGATTTTTCTTCGTTTTCGTTTGTTTCATCACATCCATTTCAGTAGCCAACTTGAGCTTCACTTGTTGTGGGTCTTTAATATGTAAGACCTCACTTACAGGTCGATTTTGACTGGTTCTTGCCTATCACACAGGTTAAAATACATTAAAAATATAAATAAATACATTATAAATAGCTCTTATTTACCGTACTGCACACTTCTGAACAAAGTTTTATGAATCTGGCCCCTTTTTATGAGTTTTATGAATCTGGCCCCTTACGTCTTCCCGCAACCTGCCATAAGCTGGTGATAAATATTCAGGTATCGCTTTATGAATATGTTATTCAATGTTTATACATGTATTCAGTAGTTCTTATGTAGGTTGCCTTCAAATTAAGTATTACTAATCATTTATATGAAGATATATTCTTTTGTACTCAAAATGTGTGACACATATGTCTACTAGCAAAAAAGACCATGCTTTAACTAAATACTGTTTAATATTCATATCAAGACAAATAGCTCAAAATACATTAAAAAGAACAGAATATTATTAGCCTTTTTCATTTTAGATCAGTGCACAAATTTGCACTTACCCTTTTAATCAAAGTGCTGATCTTAATAAGTGTCCTCCTTTCTTAGTCCACACCTACTGTTTTTGCTATTTCATGATTTATATTTATATGTTCAATAAACGAGAACATGTTGAGGAGCAGAAATGGCTTTTTACCATCATTCAGTGTAGTAATCCATAGTGTAATCCAAGTATAATATAATGATCTAGCATGAAATTTGTCCTTCTCACTTTTCACTAGTGTCCTAAAAAACTACAAAAAAACAGCTGGTCTAAAATAGATCATTTGTAAATGGTTAAGTCTAAACCTATCAAGACACACAAACCACAACCCTGCAATTTTAGTCACAGGACCACAGTGTAGAGGGATTTATCACAGTTTAAATTAAATCAATGGTTCAGGTGCCTGCATCGCAATTTGCTAACATGCAAGCATGGCAAAGATCTACAAACATGGTTATGTAGATTAGATTGTAGATTCTGTGACTTGTATCGCTCCTCATGGTCATCTTTGCTCAAAGCACTGCGTGCTTGGCCTCCTGGTGACCCAGCTGATGTCCTGAGGTCACTTGCTGGTCAAAAGGCTGCTTCACCACATATCAGAAGCTGACTGGTCCAGCCCAACCACAGTGCCGGAGCAGGGGTCTGGTCACGAGCTCCAGAAAGTCCACTAAGTCCACTTTGAAGTTTCTAATGCCGACCTTGTGACTCCGCCGCTATACTGGAGCACATGGGCGCCAATATAAGAGAGCAGACAGGTCGCCCCTTTTGGACTCAGAGGTTCAGAAAGCCTACAACCCTAAACATGTGGTTGGAGTTCATAAAATTTCTAGTTCTACAAAATTTCTAGGCTAGTTATGACATAACTGTTTACTAAGGTCAGGTTTTACACATTACTTAACTAATGTAAAACAAGCTGCACCACACAAACACCAAAGTTTTTATGTTGAGCCTAGTATTGACTAAACTTACCTCCAAGTAGGTGTGTTAGAGAAACCAACAGAAACCACATAGATGGCAGAAGACGCCAAAAATATAACTTTTTTTGTTAACTAAGCTCAAAATACAAAATGCTACAGTGAAGGATACAAGTATTTAATTTTTTTTGTCCATCATATTTCCAATACAGCTAATCCCATGAAATTTAGACCAGACATTGGTATTACCTCAGTGCAACTACACAGCTAACCAAACTGTAACATTACAATCCATAAACAAGTTATGTGCAAAAAAGTGGAATGACACAGCAAGTCTTGAACACAGTAAGAAAAAGCACCAAACCAGCTGATTCCACTAGTTAGTTTTCCCACCTGTGCTAATTAGAATCAGCTGGGTTAGTGCTTTTAGTACATTAGTACTTCCACTTTTTGAAAAAGGGGTACCTGCCTCTGAATGCAAGTAAACAAACCATTTGTCAACAAGCTGTCACAAAAGAAAGATTTCATGATGGGTAGAGGCAAAGAACTCTCTCAAGACCTTTGCAACAAGAAAGTTGAGCAGGATATCAACTGCACTGGTTACTGACAGATTTCTCAGCTCCTAAACGTTATTAAAAGCACCGCTGGGATCATTATCTGCAAGTGGAAGGAACATCACTCGACCATGAACCAGCCATGCACAGAAGCTCCTTGCAAGATTTTCGATGAGACAAGAGCCAGGGACAACTTGAAAGAGCTTCAGAAAGACCTGGAGGCAGCGAGTACAGTCATCACAGAGAAAACAATAGGTTATGCACTCTACCGCCGTGGTCTCCATTCGTGATCACCCCAGAAGACTTCATTTCTGAAGGAAAGGCATGTTCAAGCTCACTTAAAGTTTGTTACAGAATATTGGGAGAAGCCTGTAGATGACAAGGAGAATGTAGTGTGGTCAGATTAGACAGAACTTTGGGCAACAATACGACATGCCATGTTTGGAGGAGAAAGCATCATGGTATGGGGCTGCTTTTTTTTCCTCATGGCACAAGCAGAATCCAACTTGTTGAAGGGAAGAAAAATGGAGCCATGTACCAGGAAATTCTTGAGAAGAATCTGTTGCCATCCATGAGAACATTGCCATACATTCAAACCAAGCAGGAAATTTGTGGATGGAAAAGATCAAGATTTACCAGCAGGCTCTGAAATCTTCAAGATTCAAAGACTGTCTGTATAGAAGAAAATCCCAACCGAACACTCTGAGAGATTAGTTTCTTTACACAGGAAGCATTTTGAAAACGTCTCTCCATCAAGCATTAAATAAATTTCAGTTAGCGTGTTCAATAATTTTATCCTGTGTCATTCCACTTTATTGCACATAACTTTTTTGTGAATTGGAATGTTACGATTTGTTTAGTTCTGTAGTTTTATTGAGTTTATGCCAACATCTGGTCTAAATTTGATGTGAATAGCTGCATTGGAAGTATGTTTTTTAAAAAATAGTTGATGTGTTGAATACTTAATTTCCCCCAGTATATATGATGTGATTTTACTTACAACTCTCATTATTCCCCCTGGTTTTAAGTCTGAACATGAAGCTACATTTACATCTCCAGTCTAGTGAGACAGAGCAGCTGCTGTCAGTTAGCCAATAACTGTTGTTTAAAAAAGCTGTATATTTAGCTGTTACAAGGAAATTTTAAAGAATAAACAGATAATGGCTACAAGTATTCAGTTTTGTTCAGGTCTATTTGTACTTGTCATTTTTTATATACTTTTTATATACTATTTGTTCTATGGAAAAAGTAAATACAATTATATTTTTTAAAATATGTTTTAAATAAAAATATGATCTCAAAACTGCTGTAACAATTCCAAAGCAATCAGGCAACAGAACTTAAAATGGCATTATACTGCATTAAATGCTATAAAAGGCTTTAAGAGGCATTAAACCTATTTATACATCTGGTTTCCATCACCACCACTGCGAAAAATTTTGTAAGTTTCACAAGGATGACACCTTTCATATCAAAATCTGAATGATTGTGTTTCCATCTGAATAATTTAATGATGTAGAAATGATTTGAAATATCAAATAATCCTGTACGTAAGCTATAGGAGAACATCAACTGTGTGCTATGACTCAACCACCCGATGCAACTATGAAAAAACTCCAAACATGAACCCCTGTGAAGTAGAAAGTACTGTGAACTTTGTTGACTTCATCTCTTTTTGATTCGCTCAAGATCCATCATTCTCCTAAAAACTTCAGTAAAGATTTCAGGACTCTGCACTGACCTCAGTCCTTGTTAACCTCATATTAGCGCTACAGAACTCAGTATTAACAAGGCAGGGCCAAGTTTTTCGCTCCATAATGGCTCTGAGCAAATCAACAAGCTTCTTATTAAACCAACGAAACTCAAACTTCCACTCTTGAAATGAGGACGACTGCCAGGCGAGCAAACGGCAGCCTAAAAGAAGTGTGCCCCCCGAAAGAAAGTACGGGCCGAGTGAAAGCAGACTGATAAATCGGCAAGGCAAACAAACGGGGAGCTCGCAGGGCGAGCAGCGGAGCCACTTAGCCTCCCGCCAGACGCCGGCCGTGCCAGCGCTTTGTCACAGAGCCCCACTGCTGCTGCACCCTGTCATTAGGCAATGGCATCTCAGCGGGAAGGGTAAACAGACATTAAATCAATTACAGACGCTCCTTGGCGACATCCAGGGGCTCCGACAGCACCCCCTCCTTCTCCTCCCCTACCTCATTGAAAACACACAGCAACAACAAACACGCATGCTTACCAGCACAAATACGAAGTGACTTATATTTGGAGTGGTTTTCCTAACTTCTTATTGTTAACTGTTCTCTGAGCTACATTGAGTTTCTGTCTCAGAATGTAACTAAGGCTATGTTAACATTACGGAGTGGAAGTGGCACAAATTTGTTTGGCATATGGCTACAATAACCATACAACCCTTCTTGATAACTCAGGGGTCTGTAAGGTTTGAATTGGCCCACCAGAAAGTTACCCTAACTGCACCTGACACCCTCACCCAATAAGAGAACAAGCATATTTTTACACTACATATCAGGTGTGGGAACAGGTCACTAAGTTGCAAGTAATAAGTAAGTCCCAAATCAAGACAGTCAAGTCTCAATTCAAGTCTCGAATTAGTACAGACAAGTCTCAAGTCTCTATGGACTCGAGTCTATTTCGAAGATGCAAGCCTTTGTTCCAACACTGACAATATTCAATTTATAATTTTTTTTTTAAACATAATCTATAGTACATGGATATCGACAGACATAATGTACTGTAGTGTACCCAAAGAGTAGTGTTACTACACATGAAAAGAACTTTCAAAGCACTACTGAACATTAGCAACAACAAAAACTTTACAGTTGAAGATCATTTTCGATTACTTTATTTTTATTCCCCTTTCAGGTAAGAAGTGTTTTTACACCATGCCATAGCTCTGTCGTTTTATGGCCCCACACGAGCCCTTAGGTCCTCCACAGCAAGTCTGTCAGACATACCACAAGTCCCCCAGAATAATTCTGAGGACACAGCCTTCGTCTACTATGCACCCAAACAGTCTAACACCAAAAAATATTAGAGCAGTGGGCTCAGTGGACATTTTTAAACAACAACTTAAAATGCCCCTTTTTAGCTTACAATTGACAACATGCTTTTTTGTTCATTTATTTATTTTATTCTTTTTATTTTAGCTATTCTTTTAATTATGATTCCTTGTTTAAATTGTTTATCTTTTACACTATTTTATTTTATTTAAATAGCTTTAATTGTTTATTTATATGACCCTCCCTGTTTATGCCACATGGATTGAGTGGTTGCCTGCTACTGTTGCTTTCACCTTGTCTATCTTAATTTTTTAATTATTATTAATATAGTCCCGTTTGTGCAAGTACTTTTATTTGTTGTTTTTTTATTTGTGCTACTTTTGATTACCTTTTTACTCTTCCTTCTGTGTTTTTACTGTAAAGCAATTTGAGCTGCATTTTTATGTCATGAAAGGTGTTGAATAAACAAAGACATTATTATTATTATTATTGTTATTATTATTATTATTATAGACAAGTATGGATTGCTTAGAAACATGAATATGAACTGTCAAAGCAGAAAGATCGGATGTGACAAAAAATAGGAATTAATCTGTAAGGCTTAAAATGTGAATTTAGCCACAGAGCTTGGTTGTCTTTTGAAACCATTTTTTCAGTACATAGTGATGTACTTGCTGTTTATCTGGGAGTGGAGTCATGTGGATGAGCCAGCTGAGTCTTACCCTGCGGTTCAGTGCGGTCTTACTGCCCTGCTTCGCCTGCTCTCCAAGACTGTTCTGAGACTGAAACTTTCTGTCCATGTCCTCATGCCATGCTACAGGGGCACAAAGGCATAGATCCAGCAAGATAAAATTAGATTCAACCATAGCCATCATGCATCAGAAAGACAATTATTAGCACATTTGAATAATTGTTCAAACTTAAACTTAAAAGTCATACAGTACATCAATCAAACTGCTTGGTCATTTTGCCTTGTATTTTCTCAGTTAATAAGCATGTGTTTGTACTCTCACCCTCAGCGCCAAGCAGGTCTCCGTTGGTGGGCGCTGCCATGCTGAGCTTCTTGGCTGTGCTGAGGCCGCGGCTGTTCAGGAAGACGGGCAAGTGCACAATGTTGCGCATGTAGTCGTGGCCGTTGATGTTGGAGTCACGCAGCACACTGTTCAGGTTCTGGTTGATGGCTTTGATGATGATGTGGGGGTCGCTGGCAAAGATGGAAATGAAAGGGCCCTTAGAGAAAAGCACCCTAACCTGCATAGAGCAGAAGTAAGATGTGTTACAACATTTAAGCCATTACCCTTCATAAGATTAAAAAATAAATAAATAAATAAGAGAGAATGTTTTCTTTGACTGCTTACAATATGTTAACATATTAAAGACTCATCAGGGGAGTATTTCACAAAGCAGGATTTCTAAATTAGACAGGTAATTTAAGTCCAAAAATTGGGGAATGTCCAATAGGACTGTCCCTCAGCTCTTTTCCTGTTGAACAGGCTTGACTTTAGACTTAACTTATCTAAGAAATCCTCCCTTGCGAAAAATCCCCTATGTATATTTGGAGGAAAACAATTCAGGTGTAAATATTTACGATAACAACTAAAAATGTCCCTATAAGTGGTGTTAAAAGGCAGTCCTGACTGGGGTTTTTATGAACACAAAGTATGCAGCAGTTACAGCTGCTAAGGGAGTTTTCTGAATGTATTATAGTTTAATTATTATTTTTGCAGTTGTTATTGTCAAAAAAAAATATGTAATAGTTTCATCATCAAAAATAATACTGGTTAGTTAATTCAAACTGATAAAGACAACATGCTTCATATTTTTTAAGAAAACGCACAGCTCAACAGCCGATGGTAAACACTGCACATCACATTACACTGAGAAGATCCAGTGATGCACAAACCCTTCACAGTGTAACATTCAGTATTATACAACATAGACAACATTTAATGTAACAGCTCATTTAACTCAGACTGCTGTGCTGGGGATTTTTTGGATGGGCTGGAGGCACTGTAGGTTAGAACGATTAGAACAGTGTCATCTGATATCAGTGGGCGAACTAATGTCTTGCTTGACCAATCATCATCAAAATTCAGTTAGTATGTAGTTCATTCCTCCACATAATTGAATAATATGTACAAATTAAAATTAAACACTAGTTTTTTCAGAACTGACCACCACATGGAAAGGATGCAGTGTGAGTGAAGAGTACCGATGCAGACATGGAAATGATGGGGACTTTCCAGACTGATGAGAAACTGCAGCATGGCCAAGTGTCACAGGACACTGATTTGTGTACGATTTAAAAAGTCTATTACAGCTGACCGCCACCTCACGCTAGCGTCTAGGCCCAGATATTTGCTTATACTGCCATAGTCCACAGTAGCCACATTGTCTGTTTCCCATACAAAGCATGCCATAATCCCTTGCAGCCCCTTTTTTATTCACAGCAGTCTGAAAATCCTTTCCGTTATGGGACATTAGCAGCAGCAAGTAGAAAAACATTTAGTTTGCGATAAAAATTCAATTTTGTAATTCCTATCAAAAATTGCAAACAAAAAAAGCATGGAATTTAAAAGGGATGCGGCTAATTGCGCCACAAAGGAGTCTTTGAGAAGGTTTCAGGCACTCTGGAAAGAGGGAGATTTCATTAGCACAGAGCAAGCTGCCAACACAAGGGGATTATACCCCTAAATAATAACGTTTGGCTGAAGGAAATTCTATTACTCCAGCTGGAAAAGAGGAATCTGAACTTTCTGGGCTACATGAGCATGAACTCTGATAGCTACCGTATGTGGTTCAATCAAGAGATTGATGAGTGTTTACTGCCGGGTCAGATTCGCGCATTTAGGGAAGGTGAGGAAGATGTGGAAATTATGAGAAGAAGAGCAAGACGGGTCTTTGTGACATATGGTTTCATAAGCAAATTTGAAACCTGACCAATGCACACACACACACACACACACACACACACACACACACTCACCGTATCCAGCATCTGCAGCACTTTGTCTTGCTCGCAGGAGTCCAGGCCATCGATGATTACGACCAGGCGAGTCTGATTCTGTGTGAAGCCATCAATGGTTTTTGCCATTTTAGCCATAAGTTCCACCTCACACTTTAGAACCTAGTAGATGACATAAGAGATTATCACTTAAAACCAGTAATACTTTGAGAACCCAGAGTCTAACTGCTGCGATCGGAGGTCAAAATGTTACATGAAAAACTCCTTCTGCACTAGAATCAAAATATATTTATGTATTATAATAAAAGTGTAAATCAATGTATTGCATGTATCATCATCCTGAACCATCTTCTATGTAAAATGGTGGTGATGGTTCAGTGGTTCAGTGAAATATCAAATTAATACAATTTTCCTCCGACCCCAAGCGCAGTTGATCAGTCAAGACGTGTTTAGTGTTGAAGTTTGCTTCTTTAGTTTTGCACTGGAGCTACTAATGTAGCTTACAAGTACATAAAGCTTATGATCACCAATTACCACAGAATAAACCGCATGTCTAAACAACCGCATACTTGCCTCAAACCTTGCTGAGTTAATAATCTAAAACAGACGTGCTTATTTGGTTACTGACACTGTATGGCATGCTGCCATCTGCTGTTATCTATAAAAATGGACAAGCACAGTACGAGACCACCCTTTCATTTATTTAAGTCAAATTGGCCATTAAGTACAAGTTATTCTATTTTCAGCATCAGGAAAAAAGTAGAGAACAATATTAACAGAAAATTACACAGAAGCCTCAACAACTAAATATAATATATTTTTCCGTATTTAGTGGGTCCAACTTTTACCTTTATTACATCATTATTGCTTCCATTCTTTTCAGAAGATTTGCTTTCAGTTTTTCAAAGAAATCTGAAGGAACATTTTATCTCAGATGTCTCGTTCTGGTGGTCTTGTGCTTTTTTGCCTTTTCTCAGAAACAGCTTCTTGACAGCTAAACATCCTGTCAGACTCACAGTGCTGAGTTGTCTTCTCACAGTGGAAAGATGGACAATAAAAGTTTGGATTTTTTCAGATCTGAAGAGTGAAGCTTTTCTCTCCTCTCTCTCTCAAAGGTGAAAGCTTTAAGTGCTGTATATCTGATGGTGACAGTTTTGGTGGTCTACCGGGTCTTGCATGATTGTTAGGAGTCTATTTTTTTTGTTTCTTTCTGTTCTTGTACTCCTGTTTTTTTTCCTTTGACTTTCCCTATCTTAATGCAAGTGGAATATCTTATATCTAATCCAAAGCCATTTTAGATAAACATGACAAAGGAATGTGCAAGGCAGTTAAGCTGGGTCTGGAGAGCTGTTTGTGTGAATGTTATTGCCTTTTTGAAGGGGAACATAATGTCAGCGACCGTTTGGAAACACCTTTTGTTGGAGAACACAGCTGCAACTCATTAGTTCTAATATTGGAAAGATGAAAGAGTTAAAGTGGCAGTAGGGTGCAGAACAGTAAAGAGTGGATTTTAAATACTAATAGATTTGATGTCATACATAGTGCTGGAAGCTTTTGTGTCATTTTCCATTTTTTTCCCTGATACTTTGTTCCTGACACTGAAAAATGACTAACTTGTACATAATGGCCATTCTGACTGTAAATTAAATGAATGAAGGAGTGGTCTCTGACTTTTGCACTGTACTGTATATCTCATGTTTAGCCCATTTCTTCATAGATAACGGTAACTGCTGATGTATAAACATCTACTACTTGTTTGCTACATAAGCTTTGTAGCTCCAGTGCAAAATCAAAGAAGCAAAGTTCGGCCACCAAACATCTCTTGGCTGATTGTCCGTACTTGCCATGAGGGGAAAATTGTGTCAATCAGATTCTTCTCAGAACAATTACTTTAAACAAATATCGCTGTCAGAACAAAACTCCTATCTCCAAAATGGTAAATGTACAGGAGAAGGAAAAAACAGTTTAAACTAGTAATGGAAGTTAAATGTGACAATATTTTAGAATTTTGGACCATTTTTATTGGTTCATTCATCATGAAATTTTCACACAATTCTAAATATAACTGGAGTTTTTAAATTATGTCAAAAAAATTAAAAAATGGAGATTCAAAGGTTTTCGCATGAAAGTGATGATACTTAAATTTAAATCTTCTGTTATTGCCTGTACGGAGCTGTTCACGACTCTCTTTTGCATACCTTCATGAAACCTTCACTCTTGAGCTTGTGCATGCTGTTGGCAGCGCTATGCAGTCTCCTCCTCTGTGAGTGTAGCACTGAGTCAGCAACTTGCCACCAGGTCCTGCAGTTCAGCAGCAGAGCCAGACCCACCACGCTGGCCATGGCCACCAGCACCGCGTTCACTGTAATATTAGCGGGCTCTACCTTGAAGATAGCCAGCAGGGCCATGCCGGTCACCAGACATGCCAGCGTCAGTGCAAAGAGCACAAAGGATGGTACACAGCATGTCTTCTTCCACTTTTTTCCTAAAGAATGGGAGAAAGACACTTTCAGACAACTACAGAACTAGTATGTAAACTACTAAATAGCATGTATAGCACAGAAATCAGTGTATAGTAATAATAGCCATTTCTAAAATGCAGCATAGAGCTTAATCAGGCCTGAAATTTTGGTCCGAAAATGCTTTCAGTCTGTATAAACTTTCCATAGTGCGCTGTCCTCACTCTGCCTTTACCTGTTTAATGCTTAAGTTCTATTTCTTTACATAGAACAAATTACATATAACAGATTGAACATTTCAAATATTTTTGGCCAAAAAAATAACATTCTTTTGAGTGCGCTAAACTCTCCTGACTTGCTTCACTGTTTTATTCACATCCCAGCACACATTTACAAAGCGATGTCCAAACCTGACATGAATAGTTGGGTCATGCCATGTTTCGACAAATATTTCAAGCTCTAATGTTACATTACTGTTTCAGTACTGTTGTATTTTGTCCATTACAAAGAAAACACTAAATATGAAAATGTCCTCATTAATATCATGAGGTCATATTTTCCCATGTCACTTATCTTTAGTGTAAAGTACTGCATGTTGAGCACTACAAACAAACCTTGTGACTCATCATTTTTAAAGACCCTGAAGAGTCTGGTGGCCATGAAGCCAAACTCTCTTTCACATGCATCTGACAGCGTGGCAATCATCTCAGCCATGGAGGTCTCCCCTCCCACACTCGACAGGCGATTATAGTCTGTGAACAGAAACCTGAACAGCAAATGTGAGTGGAAGCGTCTTAAAAGCAGACAATATATCTCATATTTCACAACATGGGTTGACTGTTAATAAGAAGCTATTATACGATTATTCATCTTAATCCTAAACATTTTGTATACTTTTTATATTTATTTTTTTCTTAAATACCTTAATTTTTCCTGTTTAAAGAAATAATGCTTAAAGGAAGTAAATGTATCTGCCAGTGCATTAAGACAAGCTCATTTGATGAGACCATTTTTTTGGTATTATTAAGTAAAAGTAATGTATTAGTTTGAATAATCTTATAACATTCTTGTAACAATCCCGTAATGAGAAATATTAGATATGCTGTCTGCATTAAAAATGCTTTCGCTTGTTAAGATATCATGTTGTGAAGTGTAGCAGGTTCTTTCAGCTTAGGCAGCAGAGCCAGGCATGGCTCGGTCAGCCGTACCTGACGGGGAGGGCTTTGGTGGTCTGCTCAGGGAGCTCCGGTGGGTTTACGAACATCAGTTTGAGCAGCAGTTCTAGGTAGCCAATGTGACGGGCCAGCCGGGTGCTGATGAGCCACGCCCAGCTCTCACCTTCTTTTCGACCGCCAAAGTACACCAGCACTGCACACATCCGAGAACATCACAGTCCAGTTAAATAAAGTACAGACAGGACCCTTCCGACCTCAACAGGCTGTTTTTGTTACTCTATCTTTAATATAAATATGTATATTTCATCTGTCCTGACTGGCTGCCCTAAATTGAACTGTGCCTCATTCAAAAGCAGTCTGGGAAACACTTCTTATAACTTCAGCATGACTGGGCGGGGCTAAACTTCTGTAGATTTAGTAGGCAGATAAATGCAAATGCATTAGTTCATCACAGAAACAGCAAAATTAAAACTGGCTGTTCTTACCACTTTGTTTTCATATATGGACTGTATGGACTAAGGAGTGAAACGTATGTTTTGAAACTTTAACAATGTTTACATCAAGCTTTTATTTAAAAAGTGAGGAAAACTCAGTTCTCCACGGTATGGCCCTTAAGGATACCCTTTGGCTACCTGATAGACACACACGCTTAGAAAAGATTGGTTTAAAAGAATAATTTACCACATAGCTACAGTAGTAGCATCTATCTTGAAACCTTAACTCTGTCTGTATTTTTGTCAATTTTTATAGGTAACAGTACATCATATAGTGTCAGTTAACAAATAAATATGTTTATCTGACATTAACTTGATTTCTTAATTGAAAAGTAATTTAAACTAAATGCTAGTAATTGATTACTTTTTAGCCCCATACCTCCAGTGCAAACAAACAAAAAATAACTCTGAACACCAAACAAGTCTTGTTTACATTTGGGGTAAGTGGAAATTTGTGTAAATTTGTTCTTTTTCCCCAAACTACGCCTTTAAGACAAGAGAAACTTTACGGCTCATGCAATTTTCCCAGTCCAACAGTGCCCTCTGGTGGACAAGACCACTAACAGTCCACACACATTACAGTGAATACTACACAGCACACAGGCTGGGTAATTTGATTTGCTGAGAAGGCTATTTAATAGAATGTGCCTGTCTGTAACTGCCACTGCCTCTCATGTGCTAAAGAGCTTAACGAGGTTAGCATGGAGCCAGGCTGGGAACACAGGCTTAGACATTTGTACACAAACATAGTCCAGTCCACTCTGACTACCACATGAATTGAACGCTGATTTCACCTGAGAAGCACTTAAAACTCAACTTCATCGAACATGAAGAGCATGAAGGGTCCTCAAACCACATCGAGCTGTTAGGTAATCTCAAATCATTTCTGACACTGCATGATGTACTGTTGTCAATACAAATGGACAAAAGTAGCTGTGTATAAAATTCAGGTTTCAAGATGACTGCTAGGTTTTAGATATGTGACACACTTTTTGTACTTTTTTATAGAAACAGTGTATCACACAATGTCAGAAACCACCTTCACATTCCTTAAAAACTCAGCAGGCTTTGAGAAAGGTTTGTAAAGATTTAGGCATGCAGTTTGCACAATGCTAACTTGTGGTCATAAACTCCCATTATTTGTTAGTTATATTGTCTCCAGTACAAAACTAACGACACAAACCTTGGACACAAAACATGTCTTGGCTAACTCATTAAATTTAAGGTAAGGGGACAATTGTGAAAATTTAGTTTATACAATTTTGATGGCAAAAGAGCCTGGGCTCTCACCAAAGAAGATGTAGAGGAGAGCAAGCAGGCTGAGAGCCACAGCAATGGCCAGCTTGGGGTCAACAGTAAAGCCCAGGAGAAGAGCCACAGAGCCGCAGAGCAGCAGGGTCAGCACCACCACCAACCAGGAAAACTGCAGCAATGGCTCCACCTGCTGGCCGGCAAATGTCTTCATCTCATCTGATTCAAGAGAGAGAGAGAGAGAGAGAGAGAGAGACAGACAGACAGACAGACAGACAGACATCACCACAGAATGATGGATGATTATTCTGTGGCCCTCAATAGGTGTGATGTGAAAAACATTATCTATTTCAATAAGTAGTTTGTTGGCAGATAAAGGGAAAGAAATACCCAGGCTTCTCTTACCCTCCAGTTTCTTGAGGAGAAAAGACTTGCCACTGCCCCACTGGGCGTACAGGCCAACGCAGATGGGCGGCTGCATGGTGGGCTCACTCAAAATGTCTGCCAACGCACTGCTGTACAGGTCGTAGCCCAGCATGTCACCATCACACTCAGTGGGAGACAGGTGCTCTGTGAGGGGTCAGGAAAGCACGAAGATAACAAAACTTTTTTTAGGAAATGGGAATCTACCTTATACTTGTTAGGACTGAACAAGAGGCAAGAATCTGATGATTCAGTTTGGACAATATTAGTGTGGTATAAGCTTCTACTAGCTCCATAAGCCTTACAGCTCCAGCACAAAACTAAACAAGCAAACATGCCTTTGCTGATTGACTACATTTGAGAAAAAGGGAAAACAGTTTTTCTGAACTATGATTTTAAAATTGAAGACGTTTTTGAATACTGTTGCAAGATTCAGTGAACACTTACTGGCTCCGAAGATCTGAGTGAGGATGCTCTTCTGGTGAGTGCAGTCGATGTTGTAAGGTGTCTCGCCCTCTTTGTTGGGCTTGTAGAGCAGGCGGCCGTCTTTAGGGTTCCTCAAAAGCAGCTCCGCCAGCTTCCTGCTGCGGCCCTTGATGGCGATGTGCAGGGCTGTGTCTCCTTTCTGAGAGCGACAACATTTATCTTGTCATTAATTACCAAACACTGAAGCACCATACACAAAAAATACATCTATACATAACAATAGTTCACCTACACATGCTTCACTCACAAATGCATTATTTTGTAGCATCTTAACAAGGTTTAACAAGCTTTTTCAGAATGTGGGCAAAAATCCCATTCAGCATAATAAGAAAGTGTAACAGACAATTTAGATTTTGTCAAAAAAATATATATATGAAAGGTCAGTTTTAGGAGATCCAAGACAGAAGATCAGCTGTAGACTTTTGTCTTGTAATGTTAGCATGGTGGCAAATTTGTTGTTGTTTCCAATCTGCCTAGTTGTGATCATCTCCAACAACAGTCCAGATTGGTAGGAACTTAAATTGCAAACTCAATTACATGTCTTGACTCTAAACAAAGAAACTGAATTAAAATTTCTTCAAATAAGGTTCAACTGGAGTTTTGCCAGCACTCTATAAAGCTTGTCAATGCAACAGTTACTATACACAATGCATTTTTGGACAGAGCATGAGTAAGTTAACTGTACTGAGGGTGATTCAAAATAAGGAGATACAAAATATTCTAAGGTGATGACTGATAATGGTGAGATAACGACTATTTTATTTATAGCTCTTGTATACTTACTAATGATAGATTTTCTAGAGAAAAATAAATAGTTCTTGTTACCTTATCCACAGCAGACACCTTCGCTCCTTTGTCGAGAAGAAGCTCAACAATCTCAATGTTCCTCATCTTGGTGGCTTTAATAAGTGGAGTCTCCCCCTCCTGACACATAGAACAATTACAATTACTGCATATGATAAGGCAATATACTGCTGTGGGTGTGCAGTGAGGATCATGACACATACACAAAAACACAAAAAAGCTCAACTTCTACGGCTCCCTGGAAATCAAGCGGATTGGCTTTACCTTGGTGCAGGCCTCTGTATCTGGGTTACACTGAAGGATATCTCGTACCATGGTGGCATTGCCTTTTTCTACAGCCCAGTAGAGGGCAGTCTTGCAATCCTGTGAGGAAAGAGTGCATGAGTAAACATGGGCACAACCCTACTTTTTTTTTATAAAACTACCTGTTTTGCCCCATTAACATTACTTTATTTTGGTACACTATGACAGGATGAAACTTACATCTCTGGACCAATCAAGAAAGTGATATGATGGTAATAAAGAAATAACGAAATAAACAGGCCTGTTCAACATCAGGGCTGTGCTAAGAACCTGTTGCTGACAGATATTTACAGGGGAGCTGAGGACAACTAGGCTGAAACAATGAGAGAGCAAGACATATGTACCTGGCCCTTGACATCAATATCAGCATATTTATGTAGCAAAGCTCGGACAATCTCCACGTGGCCTCCTCTCACTGCTGCAATTAGAACAGTGTCTCCACTCTACGACAAACAAAAGAGTACAGATGAATGAACATGTAAAGCTAAGTATAGGCTGCAAGAAACATCATCATTAAGCTGCGACAGCCTGACGCTGACATTTGAAGAAAGTGACACAAATTAAAATACTCATGTTTTTAAAAAAAAACAGGGTCGTTATTTGTTTAGCCACCATGAAAATTTCAGTTAGGGTTGATTTTAGGGCAATGGCTATAACAGAATAACATTGTGCTTTTATATTTTTTAAATTGTAGTTTTAATAAAGGCTGCTGATATGACTAAATGGTACTGACTTCTGTGTTTTGCATTGTACTTTGCATTAACCATGTACGTATGCAGTAAGACAGTGCTCACACAAAAAGTACGTCAAAAAAACAAAGATACCAAATCACAACTGCATTTTCACAGTGTGTCAGTACCTACAAACTTACTTTTGCCATGTTAAGGGCTCATTTGTTAATATTTAAAATTGAGATACTGGAATACAAATTCATTTCAAATGTTATTCCAAACCGTAAAGTACATTAGACAAGTATTTTGGATATTTTCATACATTTTCAAAAGTTTTTGATAAATACATTTATATACATTTATTTTTGTATGGTGCATTTCTATATGTAATATTTCCCCATACATTTTGAACTAAAAGCATTTTAAAATATATTCAGTTAACATGGCAATATACTCTGGAATATATTTTAGAGTTTGGAATGTATTTTGGCATGGACTGCAATGTATTTGAAAGGTATTTCAAATATATAAAATATGTATATATTTTTCCATATGGGAAACAGCAAGGCTCACAGTCTGGCAAAAACCTCAAGAAATGGAGACTGAATCTGGGGAGCTATGAGGGCCAGTTAAACAGTAACAGGAGGCACAGACACAATACTTGTTTATCACTTCAGTTTTGATAACTGTCTAGCTAACTAATTTACATCATTGTGTACGTTGTTTTGATTATGTATTTACATCTTAGCTGATTACATATTGTCGATTGCTTGTTAACAGATATAACAATCGATTATCAACCTCAACTGAGTAGTTTAACATTTTTAAACTTGAAATAATGTTGTAAGATAAGATATAATTCCTAGAGGTAGGATAGATGCTTCTGTAATATACATTTGCAATTGTCTCATCAGCTTAAACTTAACTTAAAGACAGGACATTTATTTAATACAGCTCTGGTCTCTTTAAAGGAGTAGTTCAGCAAACAATAAAAATGTAGTCTATCAGCAGATTTGCAATGGAGCTACGGGGCTAAGTTAGCTAAAAAGTAACAGAAGCTCATAACAAGCAATTAATATCACACAACCTGCACGCCTATATCATTACACTCGCCTCACACTGTACCAATTTAAGAAATCTCAAACAAACTTGCTGACATAGGAACAACATTCAGGCTTCAAGTGGGCTACTCTTTTAGCCATGTAACATACTTTTGTCCTATTTTGTAAGGGGAGAACTGCGTAAATTAGATTTTTTAAAAAAAAATTCAAAAACAAGTCTTGAAACTTGGTTCCCACCCGGTCAGGAATGTTGACATATGTGTCTGCGTCTAGCAGGTCCTGCACTATCTCAGTGTGGCCCTCAATGGCAGCGATCATCAGCGCTGTGTTGCCATCTTTGTCCGTCATGTTGACGTTGGGGTTTCTCTTCAGCAACTCCTTCACCACCTCAGTGTATCCACCACGAACTGCCACGATCAGAGCAGTCATTGAGTTCTGACAGAGAAAGCAAACTCAGGTTATGATTATACTAAATGGTTTTAAGCTTACAGGTTTCTTACTAGCATGAGGCAAAATTCACAGCTTAAACAGCTCACAGCTTATGTTTATTATGCATTAGCTCAAATGTAGTTCTAAGTCCCCAATTAATAACCCAGAAGAGAAAAATTCAAGAACACCCACCGCCCCTTCCTGGTCCACATTAGCCCCGCTCTCCAGCAGATGCATCACGCAGTCATAATGGCCTTTCCTGGCTGCCCAGATTAGCGCTGTGGTGCCATACTGATTGCAAGATTAGAGACAAGACAGTCAGGTTAACATGATATTGGGCAAACTATTGAATTTGGTATCGGAGCTTCCTTTGTGTTGTTCCAGTTTAATTAGTGTAACATACAGCCCGTTTTCTCAGGGCCACCATCATTCACTCTTGTGAGAACAGAACTTTCACTGTATCTTTCTGTGTTCTGAGACTGTGTTTATGTAAATAAAGTTCACTGCTGCGAAATCAGCAACAACTCTGGAGATAAGGGTAATGATGGTAGTCACCTTGTCAGAGCAGTTGACTTTAGCACCGTGTTGTAGCAGCAGCCGGACAATCTCCGAATGGCCTCTGCCAGCTGCCCAAATGATGGGGTATACACTGTACTGTTGCAGAAAACACAAATGGATGAGATATATTTCTGTCTTTCTCTCTCACTCAATGTCTTTCACAGTCACTCACTCTCTCGCCTCACTGGCACCCTCACTCTTTCTCTCACCGACTCATTATCTCACTATCTCTCTATCACTCATTTCTCACACACTTGCTCACTCTCTCTCCTACTCACTGTCACTAGCTCTCATACTGTTTGGCTCACTCTTAGGTTTTCTCAGTCTCTTTTCTTCTCACTCTTAAGTTTTCTCTGAGAGCTCTAACTCTCACACTACTTTCTTCCCAGTCTCTCTCAATATCACTCATTCACCCTCATTCTCACTCTCTCTCACTTTCTTTTGCTGTCACTCTCCTTCCTTCACTCACCCACTCACTCACTTACTTTTGCTGTCACCCTGCCTTGTTCAGTCACTCAATCACTCACCTACTTCTGCTCACTCTCACTCTTTTATTCTCACTCTCTCCCATCTCTCACTCACTCCCCCGCTCATTGTCACTCACTCACTCACTGTTTGTCACTCTTCTCTCATTCACTCACTTTCATTCTCGCTTTTACTCTCTTTTGCTGTCACACAATTACTTCAAATGAGCCTTTGATGGTAACACTGTTGGCAATATGACTTTGTTTCGTTGCTTCATTCTCTGAGTGAATGCTGTAAAAAACAGTGCTGTACTGTATTGTGTACCTGTCCAGTGATGTTGGGGTTCGCACCTTTCTCCAACAGCAGGCGGGCCACTTCCACACGACCTTTATAGGCTGCCCACATAAGAGCGGTCCAACCACCCTACAACCACACACACATACACAAACACAAACACACACACGCACACGTTAGTATGTTGATATGTAAAAGGTCTTTAGTGAAGTCACTGCAACTGGATTGTTTTCATAAACACTATTTGCCTGAGTCAGAGTGTTACTCAGATTGCAGGCTTTCTGCAGATGCTCATCCTGTTATTATTAGCACTGTGCTACCGACACACTGGCACCATAACAGCCACGACACACTTTCCCAGCCAATGTTGTGTTTGAAGAAACATGTGTGTAACACATTTATAAAACACCTGTAATAAAAAGAAACACCTCCACTTTAAGCTGTAAATTCAAAACAAGGCAAAATAAAACTTTTAATATTATTTATACGTGCAATTAAACATGATTTATATGATTGAATATGATGAATGATTCCCATAAAAGTGCTGTGGGTAAAGTACAAGCAGATCCTTCAGAGATATGAGTGGTCGTATTCCAGTAATACACAAATTGAATTAATATATTCCAGGCAGCGTTGCTAAAGAAATTCAATTCCCGCTCAAGGCGCTTGCTAATAACATTGTAACAATCCACAACAGTAATTTTGAAGAAAATGGAGCATTAGGCTAGAGCTGGTTAAAATCAGTCTCAGTAGATTTCACAGCAAATGTAAACATTATTACAAGGAAAACAACAACAACAACAACAACAAATAAAAAAAAGTGATGACACTGACATTTCTTTTGCTATAGCTGACACAAACATTTTGACACACGTTGCCACCCTCCAATTGGCTTGAGCTCTTAGGACACGTAAAATGCATATAATTATAAATAATAATAAACATCATAAATACATATAATATTCATATGTATTTATTTACATATCTGTATTCAACATTTTTATTTTATTCGATAAATATATTATAATTTATATTCATGTACAATATCAACTACACAATATAATTGATGTATATAAATGTTAAGTGTCTGTTAACATGTTTTTATTAATATAATGTTGGACCATATTAATCAAGAAATTTTCAAACAATATAAAGGGTAGCTGCTGTTTTCATATGCAGTAAATAAATAATTACATGGATAAATAAATACATTAATTAATTTGTTAGGATAGTGGCAATATATGAAGAGTTTCAGTCCAAAGTGCTGTGTATCCATTTTGTGTTGTTAAAAAGAATAACAGATGATGTCTATTGGAAACACATTTTTATTTCTCTAACAAAGGGGTATTAATCACAATATAGCACTGATATTTCTGTCTGTGTAAAGCTCACTCCCAACAACATATATCATGGAAAAAAAGAAAACTGAAAGTGGTCTATAACGCATTTTGGAACAAAACCCTTCATATTCAGATATAATGCTTTACCATGTCTCTATGCTCCACGTTTGCATTGTTGTCCAACAGCTCCTTCACCACTTCAACATGACCCTCCTTGGCAGCAGAAATCAGTGCAGTCCAGCAATCCTGCGTACGAGCAAAAATGTTACACATAAGAAGCCTGATGTAACTCACCATCGAAAAATAAACGCCTAGATGCTCCCTGTCCATTGATGAACGGCTCTTAGAGATTTTAAACATACCAGTTGGTCATACCAAGTAGTCATGGGTGACCAATCTTTATAGACACCAGCGTTCAGTGAGGATCGAGGTACTGTATACTTCCAAGCTCCTTTGAGTGACTGAGGGTGTGTGTATGTTGAATGTCATCACCCCGTCATTTGATGAATCACAGTTTTGCATGCCAATTTTACACAGCTCTGCAACCCACCTGCTATTATGTGTTAACCTGGGAGAATCTAGCAGTTTAGTGCAGTTCCACCCACAGTGACATCACACAATGAAATGGAAATGTGCTGAAATTGCTTTCTTTCCTCTAAACGTTGAGGCTGGCCATGTAACCTGAATAAAATGGTCAGATGAGTCAGTCGGCCTGAGAGCTATCATAATTTATTGTTCACACCTAGCTTTAGAAAATTCTTGGTATTGCATTGCTCAGTGATTAGTGGTATTGAACCTTTCCTGTGTAGATAATTGCTGATGCTGTTGTGTAATGCAAAGTAAGCAGTTGGTGATGGAACAGTACCTACCACATCATCCAGGTTAACATTGGCTCCTCTCCTGATGAGCTCTTGCACAATCTCAAGACTGCCCTGCTCGGCCGCCACCATCAGAGGAGTCTGTCCATTCTGAACAAAAAGACGAACGTAGGGGTCCATACTCAGTCACAAACATGCTTAGAAGAGAACACTTAGGCTCACTTACAGGCTTAAAACTTTTTTTTTATCTCAGCAGTAGTGTATACATATAATACTACAATAAACACAAATAAAAAAAAGTACAGTACAAAATAATGTTTTATTTAAAAAAAAATGTTTGGTAATTAGAACAATATAGTTAGAGTAATGTAAGTTTGCGACAGACTCCAGCCATTGCATGGATTTGCTCAATTAGATCAGCAGCATTTGATTTAATTTCATACTAGACATACAGGACTGATTAGCTGACTCGGTTATTGAATGGTAACTGTAAATACTGGACTTCCACAAGGAGAGTTTTGGAAATGGTTAAGCAAATATGTTGACACACAAAAAAATCAATGTATTTTTAATAATTTAGTAGGTTTTTGAACAGGAAAAAGTTTACTGCCCAGATAAACAACTTTACATACAATTTTCTCAAATGGCCTAACACTTATGTACAATATGTTCTACATCAAGAAAGACACTCAGTTCTAAAATATACAGGATAATTTCAGTTAACCCTTAGAAGTTACAGTTCTTGGCAGTGATAAAACATGGAGTATTTTACACAATTTTATTTCTCACTCATATCTCATTTTCTGGTAAAAGAGCCGAGAATGTCTGTCAAAAGTGTGCATTCTATACCCTTAATCAATGCCACATTGGTGTTCTTAAGACGAGAAAAATTTCATTATGATTTTATTTAGATTTAATTAAATGTTTTACTATTTACAATTCTAAACAAGAGATGGCAACGAAAGTAAAAAGTGAACGTAAATCAAATGTCAGTCTAATTCACTGCATTTACTAAGTCTCTCATGGCTACCTGAGATTGTAATCTAATTACATTTAGGTCTAAAAAGTATAGAAAATGATAACAATAACTCATAAATAAAATATTTGATTTTAACCTTGCATTGATTCAGTCTTAAAGACATGCACATAACGTATATTGTACATATCACTGACACTGCAGAAAGCCTGTATTAATGTCCTTCACCACCTCACCACCATGTTTTCTCCATGTGTCTGTATCCCCTACTCACATCACTCCTGCTGTCCACCTCCCGGTACTTGTCCAGGTAGGTTCGCACTGCCGGCAGGTTCTCTTCCTCCACATGGCTGAAGATACTCTGGACAGCCATAGCGGTCATCTTCAGAGATCCCGTTGTGTCCATGGTGACAGCGTGGACTCCGCCGCTACAGGACTGGCGAAGAGCAGGAGAGGACACATTAAAGCGCTGTCCTCAACCTTTGTGGTCATTACAAAGCTCCAGTCAAACTCCAGGCAGTTAGTGGTCATGACATTTACAGGATGTACCCTTCTTCTCCATTCTAATGTGGAATAATGAGGAAGGCAGTCAGAGAGCCTCATCACAGAGCACAGACCACTCTAGCTAATGATCAACCACACAGTAGCTTTATGGGCAGCGGAAGACCACCTTATCAACTCTGATTAAGACAAAGCCCGCATGACATGAAGTTAAGGAATGTCAATGCTTCCAGTTCAAAGGTAGGTCATACCTTGCTATTCCTGCTTTGTGCACAGCTTCAGAAGTTGCTCAGCTACAACTAAGTTTCCGTAACAGTTCAATCCGTGCAGTTATTCAGAAACTCACAAGCACTGGCCTAATCTTCTTAACCCGCCTTAGTCGGGAAAACAGCTTAGTTGGAGCAAACTTACAGAGCAGTCCAGTTTAGGGCTTGTATTAACAAAGATTCTGCAAGTATGAGTCCTGATATAGTCACATTCCTGATATAGTCATTCTCTGTTGGACATAGCCATCATTTAATACACTTCATCAGGTTCAGAAACAGCACTACAAGGAGCTTTTATAGGGCTGCTGGCCTCAATGGACAACAGGGAATCATCCAATAAAACTAAGCTGTGAACACTCAATGAACGAGCATGAAAAGGATGTAAAAGGATACGTCACTGCTTCCTCAGCCAACAAACGGCCCAACCGATAATCACGTTGGCCACAGAGAAAAGGCCATTATAGCTGCTGGTGGGGAGTCAGGGTCAGGAGAATTGAGTGAGATTCGATTCCACTGAAGCACTGAAGCACTGCATTGTACCTATATAAAACCACTTTTAGCCACAATATTTAAAACATTATACAAATATAAGTTCCAAATATAAGTGCAACGGCTCAATCTGTCCAACTGAAGCAACCACTAGTTCCAAGCTCCTGTGCAATTAAGATATAGTCACATTGCTATTTTCTGCAAATGTCCTCAAAACATGAACAATCTAAATAAACAACCATCAGGCTGGCTACGTGTTAGCCTTGGGCAAAGCATCACAGATGCATGACTATCAAGAGGGAACCTATGAATCATAATGGAAAAAGGACTGACAGTGCTTTAGTGGTTAACAGCCTTGCAAACAATGAATGCAATTAAGAAAAAAGAAAATACTTTTAAATGTACAACTTTGACAATGACAAATTTGAAAGCTCTGAAAAAGTTTGCTAATATTTTAAGTTTGTTTTGCAATGCTCAGTTCTAGGGGTGGGCGATATGGCAAAAATACTGTATTTCAAACCTTAAAGACATTTCCACAATACACGATATGTATCACAATGTTTTAATACGCAGACAAAACGCCAGATTTCAAACCTGCTATCAAAAACCCCTAGTATGACAATTTTTATTAAAATTTGAAGGACTACATCCAGTTAAACAGGGCTAATTATGCTCTTTGTCACACTCTGAAACATGCAGCTGATCAGAGTTCTTCAAGTCCTGACGATATCCATGATATATTTACAATATAACATTATCAACATGTTGCCCACATCTTCTCAGATCCATGTTCATCAGAGGGAATTTCTTGGTATGAGGGTAGTTTTTTAAATGATTTGACAGTTTTTTCTTTTCCAAACTATTGTTTAAAGCATGTTGTGAAACTCTTTTGGCCCAAAGGTGGTTTAAACAGCTGAAAGGTTTGTACTTATATCACAATAAGATGATAAAATGCATTGAATACATCATTAGGGAGTATGTCATTGTCAGTACTGCCACAAATAGCCTCCAAATGGACTTCAAAACTACTAATTAATGACAGTAAGCATATATGTGTCCAAAATCAACTAACAAGACACTGTCTTTTCCTCAGCCTTTGTTCACAGCTCTGATGTGCTGACACACCCTTTAGTGCCCCAAAGCACCCCGCAGCAGCTGCTCCCTCAAGACTAAGTGCTCTCACATTGCCTAGAGAGCCAATCAGCTGAGCACCAGAGCCCCACAGCTGAGCAAGGTTCATCCCCAACCACCTACACCCTGCTGAAAACACAAAGACCAGCAAACACCAGTACAGATAAGACAGGTCAATATTCCTATTTCAGTCCAAATGTCCACTGAAGCCACTGTGCTGCCTAAAACTCTCACAGAACTCAACTACTCACCTAGTGCCAAACTGAGGTTTTTGTTAGCCGGTCTGTTTGTGCGCTGTTGATACTCTCCTCACGCTGTCACTCACTAACAGGGTTCAGCATGTCACTCCCGGCTGTACTGAATGATGTATGAAACAGAGCAAAGCCCCTCCTCCTCCTCCTCCTCCTCCTCCTCCTTCCCAACAGACCAACAGATGACCCAATGCCAGCACGAGCCCACAATAGCATACATTAAAAGCAGCACTTATCAACGGAGCTCAGCTCCACCACCACAGACCACCAGCATCTAATGGAACACATAGATTTCTCACTCTTGCTCTAATTTGTATGTGTGTACACATTTTATACATATACATATAATATTTATATGCCAGATATACTGCTCTCTAAACATATTCGCAGACTTTTAACTAATTTTATTGAACAAATGCACAGATCACTACAGTCCAATGACAAAAAAATGACCACTAAAACAGCTTCTGTGGAAAAAAAATCTTGGGAATGCAGAGATTCAGATGGAATTTCAGAATTAATTACAACATATCCATTCATTAAATGTGCTGAGATGACATTTGGCCTATTGTATGAAGAGAGAAAACCAGACAGGGACATTTTACTCTGGGTGGGCTTCGCCTAAATAGATAAACTGGAACATGTTGAATTATATGATGTTTGCATACACTCTTATAAAATAAAGGTTCCTAAATGGTTCCTGGCTTGGACATACAGTTCTAGGAAAAGCCTTTAAGTGGTACAAACCCTTCACATTATTTACACTTTCTTTAAACTAAATAAAAGGTTCTCCACACTCACATATCTAGTGTACAGAAATGTTTCCTTAAGGAACAATCCACTAAAGGTTCTTTAGTGAACCAAAAGTGGTTCTTCTATGGCATCTCTTTAAAGAACCTATTTTAAGACCTTTAAGAGTGCTCAACATCACATATACCTAAAACTGGTAAAATATGACAATGGTTTATCATATAGTGATAATTTACACTACAATATGTCATGTTTTTCATTAAAAAGAGAGCCTAACTAGTGTTTCAATTGGATTAAAAATCATATTTCACAGTATTTTTTTAATGTGGTGTTACTGGAGTGTTCCATCTTATCAAACCTGAAAAAACTAAACATTGTATATATATATATATATATATATATAGGTTCATTTTTTCCAGTCAGAGATCAGGTCTAGTCCTGGAGTACACAGTACTGTAAGTTGAGATTGAGGTAAAATGTAGTCCAGTACTAGGCGACTAGGCTTAATCGCTGTTTGGGAAACCAACCCACTATATTGGGAATCAAGCATCATGGTATTGTAGTTTTTCCACTAAATAGGCGTACTTAAATAAAACCTTAAAACACTTATCTCCTGCTGCATCATTAATCATCATATACATGCAATGATTAAAATAAGAATGAAGTATTTTAAGTATATTTTCTTCTTTTGCCTGTTTGGTGTTTTTGTGAAAGATTCATGTGTGACTCTGAAGGGCAGCAGTGTACTGAAAACATAAAACTGATATGAAAGGTCTGTGCTGGGCTCCAGTAACAGAACCCGTCAGCTAAAATAAGCCTGCGGGCACACTCACACACACACACACACACACACGCACACACACACACACACACACACACAGAGAGAGAGAGAGAGAGAGAGAGAGAGAGAGCGCTGCTGAGGATGTCTTTCCATGCTGTGTGAGTGTGTGTCAGAGTTCCTCCTCCTGTATATGAGCAACAATGCTGACCAAAAAGCAAATCTAAAGGTCACAAATTTAAGAGCTGAAGTTTAGTCTGCAGCTCCCAGGATGTGCAGTTCTGTCTCCCAGATGTATCATTACTCTTAGAAACAGCAGCAGTGCCACGGTGACACTCCCCTCATGGTACACAGCACAGCAACAACACGACATGCTTCAAGCAATGGTGCTCATTATATAGACATGCAGTCAGTGAAAAAGCAGCTGTGCTGGATAAAGAAATCTAACCTTCACCGTTTATGTAAACTCTGAAAGTGCAGCCCGATAATGACAGCTGCACTCCCTATTACAGCGGTACAGCAGCTTTACCTGACTAAACATACTACGAAAAAATGTTTTTAAAAAGTAAGTCATATTTTTTTTAACCCTGTCTTCTCTGTTAATACCAAAGCTACGAGCTTTCTGACACAGTTTTCACCACAGCTGCTCACTTCTCCTCAGACTTTTGAACTCAACAGTTACCTAGGTTAGCTAGTTAGCTAACGCTGTTACTCCGACACGGTTGACAACTTACATTTTCTTAGCACAGAGAGAATATATCCAGGTCCAGAGCGGTTCGGGGTCAGAGTGAGAGTTGAGCTTTCCCTCTAGCTGCTCTTCAACGTGTTAACGTTACTCTTGTTTTGGATAGACAGCCATTTTGTTCAGGAGGAGTGGGCAATTTCAATTTGACTCCCTGCGTCTCCGCCTTCTGTACAGCACAGCTGATATTTATGACAGAGTCCGTATCTTCACACACAGACAGCTGAGTCACATCCACATCTCAGCTCTCATGCTGTGTTTGGGGTCATGTAGACTCGGACACTCTTTAAGAGATTAAAAACATACTTCAAGTGGAACTTCACTGATTAAAAATAAATCTGCACAATTCAATCGCTGAAATGTGAACATTCCGAGTTTCGTGCACTGTAAAGAAACTGACTTCTTTACAGAGGTGGTGATAAGAACCAGGGGAGGTGATATCAACAACGCAAATATAGCCATTTTTTTACTATACAAAATGACCACTGCCTTCTGAGTTTTTATATGTAATTCTGATAATGGTAAAATAGGATTAAATCTAGAAGAAGAAGAAAACGTTTTCTTTGCTAAATACCCTGTATCACTGCTGGAAAAAACAACACCCAGCATGGTCATACTGGTTGACCAGAATACCAGCATTCAAAACGCAATATAATGCTTGTTTTGCTGCTGATCCGTATATTAACTTCCATTGCCGCTGCTTCCAGCATCCAAAACTCATCATATCGTCTCTGTCGGAGCAAAACCTCATATTTCCAAAATAGTAACCTTACAGGAGGAGTAAAAAACTTTAACTTGTAATAGCAGTTAATGTAACCTTTTTCCCCAATAATTTTGGACCATTTCTGTGGTCTGCCCATCATGACATTTTGACACAGTGCAACAAGTAAAAAAGTAGAAAATTATGAGAAGAAAATGGAGATACCAGTTTTCTGCGCCACAGTGATGATATGCTGGTTTTGCTGGTGACCAGCCATGCTAGTCTATGATGGTTTTATTAGCAGGGATGTACCTTTTTATCACAAATGGATTTTAAAAAATGTGTTTTAGGCCAAAACCTTTTGTCAAAACTATAAATAAACAATGTTTAGGGCATCAGGCAACATATTCATAACCATTTTTTGTAATAAACTCTCATTATGGTAGCTTTTAGAGACATTAATCTCTTTGGGCATCTGGTTCCTATCACAATCACTGTAAATAATTCTGACTCCATACATTTCTCTAGAATGGAGCATTTCACATCAAACCACTCTGAATGACTTAGTTTACATCTTAAAGACTTACAAAAAACTGGAAAAACTCAATGAATTTCCCCATTGTTTCCATATAATATTCCTGTAGTACTGTCATATAGCAATTTATAATACTTATGAACCTGTAGTTAACTATCGTAACTGTATAAATTTACTGTAAGACTCTTAAAAGGATTCTGTAGAAATCTGTAGTTTTTTGTCATGCAGGTAAAGTTACACCCTATGAATATGAACAATTTCTGACCTCACTGGAAACGTGTGGTAATGATTTTAATTAGCTGGTTTAATCAGTAGGTTGCTGTGAAACACAGAAAAAGACATACAAAACCAGGATGAAAACACTTGGACAAAAACACCCCAACACCCATTAGAATAATGGTACAATTGTTTTTAAATGTTATCTGAATGAGGTAAAATCACAGTGTTGAAAAAATATTTTAGAAGATCTTTTAGAACCATTCCCAAATTTTATATTTAAAAAACAACAAAAAAAAAGTTTGTCTTAGAGAACGCAAACAGACAACTGGCAACAGATGAATCCCGGGAAGGCAAACAGGATTTATTCTCCATGTGACACAATTATCATGATAGTGGAAAAATAACAGCGTCAAGTACAGGAATCGTAAGAAATCTTTTGGCTTTGTACAATGTCGAAGCACTTAGTATTGAATCAGCAAATCTAATCTTGTACTGCATCTCAGACTGCAACAATGTACCAGCCCAAGTGACCAGCCATGGCTTTGACAGGGCAAAAGAAACCATTTACAGTTTCGATCACAGGAACAGGTCTTCATCCACTCACACAGTTAGAGTGATACTATAAGGTTGGGGAAATTATGCAGAGCAACAGTTAGATTTAGTCAATTTGTGTATTAAAATTGTATAATAAAATGCGTAGTATTTTGCAATTTTAGTATCATCAGTGGCTGCACAGATTAAAGGAATAGTTCACTAAACAAATCAAATTTACATCATTTTACCTCTATCCCAAACATGGTCAACCGGCCAAGACTGTTCTGTACCTAATGGCTGTTTGTTTAGTTTTGGACTAAAGCAACAATGCTAATGTAGCTAAACAGTAAAAGAAGTCTATGTCACCCAAATCTCTTTAGCCCCATTTCAAAACTATCTTAATAAACTCCAGACACCAAACATATCTCAGCCACTTGACTACATTTGGGGTAAGGAACAAATTGAGCAAATTTGACTTTTTTCAGTTAACCACTCCTTTAAAACAGGCCTTTGGTGTTTCAGGTCTTAGTTTCAATTTTTTGGATACTGGATGCACCCACAGACATTTTTACTCCTTTTTAACCAGCCAAAGGTCAGCCTTCAGTTCTACATTAACTTGTAGTGTTTGTCTCCTACACAGCAGAGTCCAGTCTGTGTTACTCTTTCGAAAGGCTGACAAGGGTTATAAAGTTGAAACAACCAGTCAACAGTAACTACAAAGGGAAAACAGACAGAGTTGAAATTATATAATACCTGGAAGGCTAGCAGGACGAAATAATAAGGAACAAATCATCACATCCATAAACAAAACGATGGAAAAGAACATCTAACAAAACAGTGCGTTTGGAGCAAAGGCCCAGAAAAGAACTTACAGTAGACTGGCAGCACATTCTTCCATTCATGACAGTAGTCCATCAAACAATGACTGTAAGTGAATTACAATAGCAGAATAAGGCTGATCTTCATTTCTGACATTAATAACGTGGACCTCAACAAAACTGAGGAAATCCACTGTAGTCTGACCGACAAAAAGCTGCGAGTGCTCCTTTCAACAAACAAAGTTTAAACAACGGGACGATATTTACACTAAACAAGTGTTCTCATACATTCACACGCAAGTACACTAACAATGTTATGGTTTGCATTTGGAAAAAAAAGGTATAGCAATGCAACGGCATCTTTAATATTCCATAAATCCTACATCTCTCCCACCACAGAGATGCCAGGTGCTATACTCAATGGTAACATTTAGAGGGATATTTGAGAAAAGTTGTGTTTCTAAGGAGCACACAGCCCACACCACTGCATTCTCTTGCATTGTTCTGACAGTCTGTATATTTTAGCACTAAGCCACCACATTCCTACAAAAGGGGAGAGAAGAAAAGCTCTCCATGCCTTTAGTTTTGGATATATTCATACTTCTTAGAGTTAAAAATAACGTTCTTTTATGACCAAATAAATACTTTTTTCTTAAGTTCTTTAGTGCAAAACTTCGAAATCCTGTCGCGCACCTGTATAAACGACGTGAGTGCGTGGTCTTAAACGTACGACGCGTGCGCCACGTATAATTTGGCACTTTGGACATACAAAGCAGTTTTGCATTGATGTGCTGGTTATGTGGTCGGAACACTTGTCTTGCTCAGACTTATTGTTTCTTTCCCTTTGGCCTTTTGGGCAGTTAGACAATTCTACAAAAAACAGTGAAAGATAAAATAAAAATTAACATAATTAAATTTGGAGTAATATCTTATGCTATTAAAGGTTAAATTTGACATTTCCTAAACCTTTACTCGCTGCGCAAAAGCTCAGTTTAAAGCTATAATCAGGGATTTTAAAACACAGAAAAAGAAAAGAAAAAGAAAAAAGGCAGCGCAGACACTAAACGACACCGAAACATCGAAGGAAGGATTGAGGGAAATTCTGCCATCCTTGAAATCGCAGACAATTCCGTACATGTTAAAAGCTCTAAGTAAACAAAGCATCTTCATATTTGCATTAATTGTAAACAATGAAACAAAGATCCACTTTCATGGCTCTCAATGGGGGTAGAATACATGCATTTTAAAAATAAAAGACCTTAACTTAACTGCCAGTCTTCATACAATATAAACATGATACATTTGAAGTAAACTACAAAGCTTTCTAAATCCCTGATTGTGGCTTTAAACCAGCTAATAATTATCAATTAGCGCAAACAAACACCTTCAGGAGAACCCATACATGCAATATAACTGACAATTTAGCTCCAAAACATTAATTAAGTCTCATGGCTTTGCACGTACCAGACTCATTTGCACATGGACCCCTTTAATAAAGTAATCAATCTGGTCCTCTGTATTTAGTGTTCTTTATATTACCATGTAACACCAGATAAGACCTTATTGAAGTGTGCTTGAGGAACCGTAGGAGGCTCGGCCAGTGCTCTTTCTCAGAAAGGGGAGAGGGTATCAACACTATCATACCCTCAATAACAAAAACATTCAGTGTTATTGAAGCTTTACAGAGAAGGGCCTTGCTCATTCTCATGGACTGCTGTTTTGATAAATGGTCTTGGCTTGTATTTCACTAAACACACCATCAAAATCCCTTTTGCAATCACCGACTTCAGAATCCTGAACTGTTCCCACATCTCATATTAAAAGCATCTAGGAATCACTCGGAGAAGAACTTTTCACCTCATCTCAAGTTATTTTCAGGGTAAATGTTTGCACTGTAGAATATATGAGCAAGGCCCTTCTGCTCCTGGTTAAAAGTAGTGATGGAAAAAACTACAATACTTGAGTATTTCAGTTAAAGTAGATGTTCTCTTGGTAAAATACTACTTGAGTAAGTATAAGTATTTATAGTACTTGGGTAAAATTACAGGTCACATGTTATTTGGACAGCCCATTGTAAATGCTTTGTAGATGATTATCTTGAGTTTAACTTACATTATATTTAATTATTTATTAAATGCACCTTAATATCCCTAACAATAAACCTTGACCTAACTGTAACCTAACCTTAACCTCGACCCAAAACCTGTTAAGAATCTATTGATAAGTTATTGGGGACTATCCAAATAAAATGGGACCAAAATACAAAAGTACTTGCTTGTCAATGCACTCAAGTCTCAATACATAAAGTACTTGGAGTTATTAAAGATAAGATATTGTATAATATATTAATGTAAAAGGCCTATTAAGGAGACCTGTGTCGCTGCAGACATGAAGTTGTTCAGTACATTTACTTTGGATACTTACTAAACTCGACTTAAAAGTACTTAAGTAGAGATAATATAGATAGAACACTTGTACTTTTACTCAAGTCTTAATTTCTTACCAAGAGTACATCAACTTTTTCTCAACTACTAAAATACTGTACTTTGTTTTGGTTAAAAGTCATTTATGACTGAAAAGTAGAAGACTCTTTGGAGGTTTCCTAAGGGCCCAAATCACAGAAAACCCTTCACAATCCAGAATATCTTCTGAAACGATAATGAATCTAAATACTGAACTACAGTAAATATCTTATGATGTGGTCAAGTTGATGGCCAGTGTAAAATCTCCTACTATAAAAAGAAACATAGCATCGCTGTCATATCAAAACCATGTAACTCTTATCTATTCATTAATTTATTCATTTATTTATTCCCATTTCACCATGAAAGGGCCAATGGAGATGCTCCAAAACTTTTTGGAGTAATATCTTATGCTATTAAAGGTTAAATTTGTCATTTTCTTGTAAAGTTACTATTTTAGAGATATGAGATTTCTTATGACAGGGATTCGTTTTAACAGTAAACTATGGTACAACGGTCTTTTCCTTCAATGTATGGCAATAAAAAATGTAATACAAATCCTGATATACAGCGTTTACATGAACGTGATGTACTGTAAAACATTCATGTACGTAACAAACATGCCGTGATATCACATGGTCCAGATGTCAGCTGATAACGACTGTGATTAGCGACGCTTATTAAAAGCTTCAGAACTGAATCCAGTGAGCCCTGAGGAAACCAACGGTAAAATGCAAACAGAAAGCCCTTAATCCAAACCAACAAACAGAATTACAACAATTAAAACAATCATAACCAACAAATAAAATTACAACATTTTTTTAAAAAGAATATAATCCTTTAAACCCTCGTTCCAAATAAAGGCCGACCCCCAATACAGCAGCAGATATGAATTGATTAGACAGAAAAAAATGAAGAGACTGTAAAAGACCAAACAATGGCTAGACACAGACACCTAAGGCCTATGAGAGATTGGCATCACACAATGTACTTCTATGTCTTTATCACCCCCCCAGTTGTTACTTAGAGAAGAAAATCTGTCAAACGAAGGGGACATTGTTGAACAGACAACGGCAAAAAACCCCCTAAGTACTTGCGTGAGCTGGCCTCAGTGCCGCGAATGCTCCTTCCTCAATGAATTTCCCAAGCCAGTTCGCTGAGCATCAGATAGTAGATAGAGGGTTTTTAAGGCAACTTCAGATTTGTTTGTATTCATTAAGCTCCATTACTCCCTGATCGCTTCCTCCCATTAGCAAATCATTTCCACCAATTAATGCCCCCGAACCGGTCAAGATCCAGCGCCACTCCTGTTTTGTTGCCCGTGGTCAATGTTTTAGTAGCATCCCTGTCTGGTTGGGTCGTAGGGAGAAAAATGGCCGCTATGGCTCTCAGTCTTGGTGTGCAAGTTCTCCACACCACACTGTGCGGGATGGGAGGTGGACAGGGGGCGCAGGATCTCATGTGGTCTTCTCTTTCTGATTGCAGTTGCTGTCTGTGCTCGAGTGGACGTTCTGGTCTGCTGGCTGGCACCGAGATGGACTCTGTTTCCCCTGAACACTCTCACGTGAGGTTCTGCGTTTCACAGGGAGGGCCAGGACCAGCAGCACACAAGCAAGGTGAAGATAGAAGTAACATGACCTGAAAGAGAGAGAGAAGTATATATTTTACATTATATATAATTATACATCATATATGTTTATGTACATAATAAGAGTTTAATATAGTACATAAACATTGCTAAAGTTTTAAAATGGCGGCTTCTCAGTCCTTACATAGAAACTATTCTGAATTCGTTTTTGTGGTGTCACCAAAACTTTATTTATATCTGCCCATTCAGCCTATAGCAGTTTAGCCCAAATCATACACACTGAAACTGTAAGGAGCCTTTCAATTCAGTCTGATGCTTGATTGAGACACAATTCAGGGCAGCCAGTCAGAACAGAGATCATTTACATATACCAGACTTAAGGCACAGTAACACAGTAACACAGTTTACTTTTAAGGGTTCACACACGTCATTTTCGAATATTTGAAACTAATTTAAAGCCAGGGAAATACTGTTTTCTGTGATATGGGCCTTTTACAATCTGCAAAATAATTAGTTTGCTTTAAATTAAACTAAATGATGTAAATGTAAATGTAAATTAAACTCCTCTCACCCCAAGTATAGACAACATTGAGACATAAATTTGGTTATTCCTGTTTTTAGCTATACAGCATACCTTTAATCATTTTACAGACAGCATGTATACAATATCAGAAACCTGATACATGTATGTATATATGTGATGACGTTTGTCCTTCAAAAACTGAACCGTCCAGTCATCAAGTAACATTTTAAGAGTTTTGCTGTTCTAGTCAGTGTCAATCCTTCAGCTATATTTCCTTGGCTGGCCTCCCACATCCTTCACTCTGACCAGCACACCAATGAACTGATGTTTTCGGCTGCCTAATTATCTCTCTTTAATGTGAGTGCTTTATACGATCCTCACACGGTCAAATTTAATAACGCTACAAATGACCACTATAGATTTCTCTTATCTCAGCAGGGCTCGTAAAACCAGTCATTCCCTGTCTTTCCTCGAGTACCGGCCCTAAAACTGTCTAATTAACAGAGTGTGGCTGTGCTGGACGGACATAGAGCTGTGCTCTCTTTTTAACCTTCTGCTATGGATTAATATAACCCAATCTTTTTCTAGCACTCAATAGGTTCTTCAAAGAGTCTTCGTAGAGCTGGGTGATACTGAAATACTGAATATCACGATATTTTCCGGCATGTCACACTATCACAGTATAAGACAATATTTAAATTAGAATTAATTAAGTTTATGCACACCTGTTTCCTCAACACTGCTACTCTATGCTTAAAGAAAAATGTCTTACTAACCTGAAATAACTTGAATAATTGGACTGTTTTGTTTCCTTCTTTTTAGACAAGATTGGAACCATGCAAAATATTGTAAATGTTAACCAGGCAGAAAACACATTTAGTTATTATTTATTAGCTTTTATGGATTTTAAACTGTTCTTTCAAAATGATCTGAATTAGCCAGTGTCAGATCCTGGACACCACATGCAAACTGCACAAAACAGAATTTAAAATTCTGCTTGTTTACAAGGACAGGCATTGTATAATGGACATAATGTTCATTATCTATCAAATATATCACTATATACATCACTAAAACTATGCCAATATCATAAATACGGTATACTTTGAAAGTCAACAAATCACCCAGCACTTAACTGTGCATTTAAAAGATGAAATCCTACTTTTATTTCAATTTTAATTTAATAACTGAGAACCATGTATGACATCTTTATGGGTTTATGTACACAAAACAGTCATAATTCATTTTTACATAACCATTTTTCAACCTCTTTAGAATTACATTAGGCAGTTTTTGCCACCTCTGTTCTGATTGACTGTCCAGCCCGAAACACACTATAAACTTCAATGTGGTGGGCGGAGCTAAATCAATTCAAACAATCAATTCAAAATGGGCTATTTTTGCAGCTTAGTTTCTATATAGAGACCATATAGGCTCGGTAGTGTCTATTATCTTTTGCTTGGAGAGTCTATTATCATTAATGTCAGCCAGTGCCTTTCTGTATAATGCTGTATTCTATAGGTTGTCCAGTGTCTTTTGTTGATGGCCTTTGTTTTCCCATGTAAAATCTGTTTAGCACTTTAGCAACACTTACCAGTAGAACCTCAGTGAAGGTCCCACGGCCAACACCACGAATGGCACTACTGTGTAGCATATAGCGATCTGCGTGCTGGCCCACGTAATCACATCATAGAAGAGCTTGAGCGTAGAGGAGCCCAGGAAGTGCTGCCTCATGTTGTGTCTCACCTAAAATGCAGAGAACAAAGACTTAGACCAACATTTATCATTAAGATGGTTTACACAGACTGTAAGAATTTAACAGCAGTGCCAATGTCCTAAAAACCTTGTATCTCTACAACAGGAATAAAAAAAGAAAAACATTCTTAAATTTAATGTATGTTAATATAGCAAGATTTTCTTCATCAATAGATAGACGTTTCTATCAGTTTCATCATGAAATATTAAAACAATGTAAAAAGCAGCTGTGTTTTCAAATGGTGTTAAAAAAGTGAAAAAAACTGAGGTTTTGATATAGACATTGTCAGAGACATGCTTGTTGTTGAGAACTAAATATGTTTGGGGTTTTTTTTCCCCAACCAAACCACCATCTGTGCATCTGTCTAGTGGAAGTCCAGTAAACGTAAGTAATACAGGCTTTGCTTTGGATGGAACAAGTGAAATTTAGCTTCTTACAAAAAAAGACAGAATAACGGATCTCAGAATCTGAAGAATCTAATCTAGTACTTCAGAACAGCAGTGGCCCAGGCTCAGAGAGAGTCAAGTCAAGTCAAGTCAAGAGGCTTTTATTGTCATTCCATCTATGTACAAGTACACAGTGGATTGAAACTGCGTTCCTCCAGGAACAAGGTGCAGCATGGAACAAAAGACTACAAATGAATGGGATTAACAGAATAGATGACATGATGACTTTAATGCAATACAGAGAGACCTGAGCTTATTCATTGCACATACTTTTGATTCACCATGGCATTTAAAGGCCATCTACTGCTGCTTGACCCAGTTCTTGTAGAAAGGGAAAAAGAAAATTGGAGAACATCTATCATTACTGGACAGCAGAGTCAGAAAACAGTGCTGAACTGAACCTTGGATGCTGCTTTGGAGCAGAGGCAGTGAAGCCTCGGCTTTGGTGGAAAATGCAGTTTAGAATAAGGGCTAGAATAAGGATTGTTAAAGGGACCTAAAGGCAAATGAGACAACAACACTAAATGCTCCTCACAATGCTTGGGCAATTCAGTGTAATTACTTGATTAATTACTTCGTGATCTTGGTTCCAAAAAACAAAAAATAAATAAATGCATACGTACATAACCAACCAACCAAAACAAAAACAAAAAAACAACAAATGCACAAATGTGATTTCTTTATTCCTCAGCTTTACTTACTAGACCTGCCCAATATACCAGTATAATAGCCTTTTCAATTCAGATATTGCTGAAGGCTGCAATGTGCAAATATCTCTAATATTCACTTGATCCAAGAGACATACATTTATTTAAAAACAATGCAGGATCTTTAACTGTGTCACTCTAACCATGGCACTTTAACATGTTAAAGAATACATGTAACAGTGTTTTACAATCAGGGTACAAAAAAAGAGAACTATATTCTGTACAGTTACAGAAAAAGAAAAACAGTTTACGGGTACATTGTAAAAAGAGTAATTACTAACAGGTTTATTTTAAAACCACTCTTTTTCTTGCCTGTTTTTGTCTGCTTAATACAGATGCTGTTGTGAGGTTGTTTTTTTCTTTCATGAAAGTTTACCACAGCGTGGGAGATTGCATACTGTGGCTCTGCTAAGGGGAGACAGCATGCTGTGCTGAGCGGTAAATTCAAATAAAAGAAAAAAATCTCTCTCTCATATTATAAATAATAGCTCCAAGTTAGGCTAAATTTCACTTTTGGTCCACAGTTTCTCTCACTGCTATTCACTGGGTGTGATGCAGGTCTGTGAATGGTGTAAGTTAGATGTCAGAAATCGAGTTGGGATGAAAAGCTTTTCACACAAAACAGAAAATGAACCAGACTGAGAAAAGTGTCACACAGTCATGTGTGATAGATGTATATCAATGTAATCACATAAACAGCTTGCCCGCTAGGAAATCTACATCATTCAAGTGAGTGCAGTTTTCAGGGTAGTTCATGTTAAATTAAAAAATAGTAATGTCAAGCTGTGGAGGCACAATATTCCAAACTACGCATGCCTTTCTTGAATATCTGATTGATTCCACCAAAAAACTAAATGACATTTTCAAATTGATGTACACACTAAACACACATCACCTGTATGGCTTCTGTGTATTTCTGTCTTCTATACTGTGTTAAGAGATTGTCCTGCTGAAATTGCTTTTCTGTGATATTGATTTAATAATATGACTTTATAAAGACAAGTAATCCAAAAGCAACAGAAAGTCTCAGATTACGTTACCTTAATCTAGTAATCCTCTGGATTAGGTTACAAACTAAAAGGGTAATCAGCAATCTGTGCTGGAACACATTTTTAAAGTAACACTTCCAACCCTATAATACAATCATTTCATAATGTACCTGCAACTAAATTGGTTTCATATTATTAAAAACAGTGATTAGAATTGCAATATGAGTACTTTATCCATATCATGCAGTCCTAATACTTACTGCTCTGGCTGCCAGCGTCACGCCAATGCCTGTGACGAAGGTGAAGTAGTATCCTGGGTACACTCCGTGCCACACGGCAGAGAGCAGGAAGGTGGCTGCTGTTGGATGATACGGACAACGTTCGTAACACACCCTACAGAAACATCAGAAACATTGCATATTGTGAGACAAAGCACAACACGGTACAGCACAGGATCTGTCAGGGAAATGAGGATAACCTTTCAAAACATCTACCTTTTCAGCCAAAGTGCTGTCTGAATGTTCCAGTTGTCAAGGAACGTCTTGAAGCTAGTTGCAAACTGCAGTTGAAGGAAATAAGTACAATCAATTCAAGTGTGTCCTTTGATAGCAAATGGGTTACTGGATGTGATTGCCATCTGGCTTTCTCATACCTCAATGTTCAGTATTCTCAAGTTTGATATCAAGTCCCATTGTGGAGTGCCGTCTTTGCTGTAACCACTGAAGCCAAAACCAGCAGCATTGTGAATAGCATCAGCTGAAAAGCAGGAGAAACAAATAAAATATGTAAATAAATTCAGTTAACAACTACAAGCTCATTATTAAAAGCAATACTTTCATTTGGATAGTTGCACAATGACACAACCAATTCCTTCTTTAAACACAAGAGGGCAGTACAGCTCTAGTATAACAGAACATTTTTTGTTGAACATGTTTTGTGGCTCTCACAGTTATCAAAAACATTGCAGAGCATTCCAATTTTAAAGTAAACAGGCTCCTTTCTCACCAAGCGTCCACACAAAGTAGTACTTTGGCCGCAGGCTGAGCATGGATAGGTAGAGGTAGAGGACCCGCAGGAAGAAGGGCTGCGAGGTGAAGTAGGGGTCATCAATGACCCGTTCCACGGGGCACACCCTGTAGAAGGTCAGGTAGACCAGCAAACACAGAGCGCAGGTGCCCAGCTTCAAGATTACATCCCTCTGGAAGAACCACACAGTCAGGCTGCATAAAAACCACTGAACTCACATTTACAATACAGTGAGACACAATGGATTTGTTGAATATGGAACCATTTCCTCTATGTGTGTAGAAAGCACACACGCATTCATTAAAATACTTTTCAAGAATCATCATTCTCTTTAGGCTTCAGTATCTATACAGTATCAAACTAACTTTGGACACACTCATTAAAGGTTTTCTACATATTTTTCTAGATTTATAATACCAAAACTATAAAATAACACATATCCAAACAGGCAGTGACTAAAACTGTTAAACAGATCAATACTTTTATATTTATATTCTTTTATTTATAGATTTATAGATTTTATTTTTTCAGAGCTGAGCCGCTGGTACAGTCTTTAATCAGGGAGAACTAGTTGCAGCAGTTTATTATGATTAAGAATTAGCCTAATAGTACTAGTGATACAGGTGGCCTTTCAGCTAAGCATAGGAAATATATAAAATATTGGTCCTAAACCAAGTCATAGACCACCACTGCAGGGCATTCTTGCTGAAGGAAAATGCTAACACCTCACTGGCAAGTTCAACACCCTGATACATGCCCTCATACAGTAGAGTTTTCGTATTGGTATGGGTTTAACAGACAGGAGTGAACACAAACGTGCTTTTACACAGTGATATAGCCTTTAAGTCATGGTAGAACAATACAGTTTTGTGGTTTAGAAAGGTCTTGAGATCCTCACTCCTATCTGTTAAACTCATACCAATACGAAAACTCTACTGTATGAGGATCTCAAGACCTTTCTAAACCACAAAGCTGTATTGTTCTACCATGACTTAAAGGCTATATCACTCTGTGTACAAGCACACAAACGTGCTTGGAAACTTGAAGCAAAATCTCACCAATTTTTAAAAATTTCTGCATAATTTAATCGTGAAGATGCAGGGTTGTCACTACTGATTGTATTAATAATTGAGTCATCTGGTAATTATTTTGACAATTAACAGTGTAATTCATTACAGCAAATATTTGTTTTACTTCATATACATTAAATCTGTGGTTACAAACCTATGTGCATTTGTGAGATTCTGCTTGTGTGGGATGTGAACCTGAGGGATTTGTGTGCTAACAGCTCCCCTTTGTGGAGAATGTGTTAAACATAGCTTCATAATGACCTGTTTATCATTCAAACAGTGAACTAATCACTAAGCCAATCCATCAAGAATGTAAATTTTAATCAATGATTTTTTTAAATCAAGTAATTTTGTTTAATAAAGTAATCCTAACTTTGCCATTAAGAAAAATAAGAAAATGAATTAATTCAGAGTGGTTTGATGTGAAATGGTCCATTCTAGAGACACTTACATAGTCAGAACTGTTCACAGTGGTGGCGACAGGAACCAGACCAAAGCATTATGCAGAATTTTTGAAAACTAGGTGAAATTCCCCTTTAACTACTGTACCGCATTATGGATGGGTAAAAATTGTAACTTTTCATCATGGCAGCTATTGAGCTAAAAACTCTTCGGCTTTAGGACTTTCATAAATTTTTTAGTGATTGTGATAAATCCCTCACTGGTTTTAATTAGACCCAGCGCTCACAAAGGACCAAGACTGGCTGGTGGAGTTGATCAAAAAGACACCAATACTGTAGTTCTTCTGGAGAAGGAGAAAAGTGCTGACTCTGCTAATCACCATGGCAACGTGTGGGGCTATTTCTTTCTCTACCAGGCCAGAAGTAGACAAGCTCATCTTACCGGAATTACTGTCTGCTTTGGGCCCAATGTACACCAAGCTACTTCATTCTCTCAAGTAGAGATAGAAGACTACTACAGTGTCAGAGAGTGTGGCATTTTTTTACATAGAGAAGTGCGTAGCTGACAATGCTAAAAGCTTGGGCACCTAAACAACACAGTAATACTGAAAGCAGGCCTGTAATGGCTACTCTAACAATAAGAGAAGCTGTGAGAATGCGTCCTTCCAGACTTTGTCAACAGTGCAGTTGTTCTTTTCTGTGGCTGTGCTAAGGCTAGCTGGGCTTGTTTATCTTGTCTAACATTTATCACATGAGCAGCAAAAAAGAGGAAACTAGCAAAACCTGTCCTGAGTCATCTGCTAACACTCATGACACCCACGACCACTCATGGCAGGAAAGCACGAAATGTCCTCATTTAGGCACAAGCAATACTTCTGGAACAAGATTTTGTTTTGAAAGCAACGATATACATACGCAATACAAAAAACTGTACTGAAAGTACCATCTTTGAAACATTTTTATGACTTCCATTTGTCCCTCTTTTGCTGTAATAACAGTGTGCACATGAGTTAACATAACAAGTTCATGCAAAATACTGGTGAGTTAATAAAATACACCCAAGAGTCGCCTGAACACAAGCTTCAATGGAAGACGAAAAAAATCTGATCTTTTGTACAAAGGCCTTATCAGTGTCATAAATTTGCTTAGATTTGAATAGTGACCTAGAAATAGTAATGAATTTTTCTTCAGTTTACTTGTCACCCTTCTAATGAGGATATATTTCCAGTCTTTGACTGCCACGGAATATATCTGAACTTTAAGATTTAGCTTTCCTTTTAATAATCTGTGGTAAGCTGTGGTAGAAGGGTCACTCAGGCAGCAGGGGGAGCCATAAGTCTTAGAGGGCCTGTTACCTTAGGCGAGGGGTCACTCTGCTTGCATTTGCCATTCTCCTTGCCATTGGACTCCAGGTGTTTGCGCTGATAGCACGTACCCTCAATGAAGGCTATGTAGTCGTTGTACGAACATGTGGGTCCTGCCAGGATGCCCATGAAGTTACAGTTATAACTCAAATACTCCAGCAGACTGGGCATCTTGCTGCACAGTGCACACAAACAGAGGGCAACATCATTTAACAAACAATCAAACAAACATAGATCAACAAACAAACATAGAATGCAATGTCTGCTTCCACCAGAATATTCGCTCTAGTAGAGACAAAAAACAAATGATGTCAGCATCTTATGATTAGCTTCTAGGCAGAAATTATTCTTTCCCTTTTGTTAGTCACTGCATTAGTTAAGACTTAAGCAGGCAGTTTCAATGGTCTCTCTCTTGAGCCTGGGTGCTTTTCCTAAGGCAAATTTGATGGGTTAAATGAGGAAAATGCTGAGTGAATGAGTACATACTTTATCATTTCCTGCTAATGGCAGACTGCAGTTCATAATGGCCACGGCAAGTCTTTTAATTATGGAAATATGGAAAGCAGGGCTGCATAATATTTTTTTTAGTTAATCATTAATGCAGTGTAGGCTTTCACAATACTGATATTCCTCAGTTACAGTAACTTTCTTCCTTCTCACACAAGTTATAGTCATTTTCCCACTTCATTGTCCTAAGTGGTGCTTCTCGATAAACGTGCTCCGCCACTTCCGCTCCTCTCTTCCTCTCTTTCCTCTCTCCCGAAGAGACCGCTTCACAGCGGGATCACGCAGTTGCCTGGCAACAAGCCTTCAGTCCCTAAACATGGAAGTGCGGCCGCCACTTTCTGACTCAGACCCTGGAGGCAGATGGGCAATAATGCCCCTAATTGCCATCTCGAGAAAGAACAGTGCGTGCTTACCGGAGGAGGGGATTAGCACAGAGCTAGCTGATCAATGGGACCAATTCCATAAGTAATAGCAATCTACATTCCACTGTCTGTTTCAGTTAAGGTAATGGCTGAGCTGTAACAGAGGAGTGACCTGCTGAGCTGATATCAAGACTTCACCACTGTAATTTAACACATAATATTGTGAGTAGAGTAATAATAGAACAATTAGTGAACCAACAAAAGAAAAAGACCAAATGTAATTGAGTGTTAGAGAGATTATTAATTATTGCAGGAACAGCAGGAAAGAAACAGGCAGGGGTCAAAGGAGGTAAGGTGTAAGTACATGATCCCGTCCCAGATACAAACATACCTTTCGCACATACCTTACAGCGAGATACTTTTGACTGGGCTTGAGAAGTTCCTCTTTCTTGGTTAAACCTAAGAAAACAACACAGACAAACGTTCAACAAACAGCAGGCTAATTCAGTCACAGTTAAGCTTTCATATAACTCAAGATACCACACTTCAAACCCCTCTTTTCTTATTTATAAAACAATTATAAAAACTAGCTATTTAAAGATGCATGTATCAAAGAGTTACACAAAGGTTTATGCAGAGGTTTATGCAGATTTAGGGAAAAGAAATGCTGAACTGTTAAATGGCTCACTTAATGCATACCATCACTTAACACATACAGCCACCTCATAGACATGGTGATCAGAGATAACACGATACCACTTTCTCTTTTCACATCTAAATTTCGATATATAAACCAAAGTCCAAAAAAGCCAGTAAGTAAAAAGCAAATAGAGACAGAAATCAGATTTCTAGTGTGTTGATTTATAGTGTGTTGACAGTAGTGTTATTTTAACTTGTTTTCTATTTGCATATTCACATTTTTAAAAGAATCGCATTTGAGTATTCCAGTGGGAAAATATTTTACAAACCCAATTCCAAAAAAGTTGGGACAGCAGCTAAAATGCAAGTAAAAACAGAAAGCAATGATTTATAAACCTACTTTGACATTTATTAAAAACAGGACTGGTTTTATTTATTCAGCAACTTTTTAGGACTAGGAACATTGTTCAGAAAGCATCCTAAACAGGTGATGTAATCATTCTGGGTATAAGAGGAGCATTCAGGAAAGGCCTAGTCCTCTATGAGCAAGGATGAAAGGAGGTTCACTCACCACTAACCCAAAAATGCATCAGCAAAAAAGCCAACAGTTTAAAAATGTTTTAAAAATTATTTTAAAATAATGTTCTTCAGCCAAGGATTTTAGGTACTGCGCCCTCTACAGTGCAAAGTATCATCAAAGGATTTAGGAAATCCAGAAAAATCTCTGCCTGTAAAGGCCAAGCATGGCCAAAAAACATAAATGAATGCCCTTGACCTTTGGCCCCTCAGACAGCACTGCATTAACAACCAGCATGTTTCTGTGATGGACATCACCACATGGGCTTTGAAAAACTCAACAAACCATAAACATCCATCCGTTGCAGCATCCACAAATGCAGGTTAGACTGTACTATGCATAATGGAAGTCATGGGTCAACAGCAATAACTGTTTATGGAAATAATGGATGTTGTGTCCATTAGGCCAACAAAGTAAAGGGAAATCCAGACTGTTACTGGCATAAAGTTAAAAAGTCAGGGTCTGTCATGGTATGGGGGTATTAGTGGGTAACCCGCACCTCTGTGAAAGCATCATTAACACTTGATATGACAACACCAAGCCACATTCTGCACAATTTATATCACCATGGCTGCATAATTAGAGAGTGCAGGTGCTAGACTGGACTGCTGGGGTCCAGACCCATCTGAAAAGTGCTGTACAATTGCATAGCTGAAGATTTATGTAAATGAAGAAAAAAAAGCTTTCAAAACTGTATCAGTTTGTGTCTTCAGTCCCCAAACATTTATTAAGTGTTATTAAAAAGAAAGGTGATGTAACACAGAGGTAAACATGTATTAAATTTAGAATGAAATATGTAAAATATATTTATAAATCGATAAATAAAATTTCCATGATAAACTCATCATTGAGAGCTACGATGGCAGAACAGATCACACACAGCACCAAAGCCTGGCAGGAAAATAGTATTAGAAGCTCAGTAAGTGCTTCCTTGTGCTAGGCTTGACCCCTGCTCTCCCACATGTAGAGCAAGTAACTGAACCACTCAGCTAAACCACAAACTACAAAACACCTACATGCACAGCTCAAAAACTACTCTATCCTGAACTACTAGCCTGTAAAATGACGTAAAATGTGATGACCATTCTCACCCTCACTGTTGTGTGTAAAATGCTTTGACTGGATGATAAAATGTATAAAGCACTATTGGATACTGTCTCATCTGCATCATAAGGAGCTTTTTAAGGAATTCCATATACTTTTATGCCTAAACGGAAAATAAAAATATACATATTTATTAGTTTTTATACCTTTTAGACTGAAGCACCTAATGAAACTCACACATGTTTTGCAGGTTACCCATTCATTCATTGTAAATATACTACAATCTGTAGTGCTTATGCGATCTTACACTAACCAAAGCCTGGGCCTTTTGGACTGACTTTTAAAACACTGCTGTTAGCTCATGTAACTTTACATCAATAGCTGTTCCTTCATGTCTCCAAGTCAAACTCATTAGAATCTAAATTGTATAATTTCATGTTGGTTGAAAGCTGATGTGAACTTTACAGTCTGTATCCCTGTCTCTGATCAATACTACTTGTTCTTTGACCCAGAATCCTGATGGAAAGACATCGCCTGAGGTTAAAACAAAGCACTATGGTTTCTCTGCTTTCTTTCAGTTTAAACTAAAGTCTGCCCTTTAATAAGACAGCACTAGAGGATAGGAAATAAAATCTCATACCCAGAATACCAAATGGGCTGTTTATAATAAATAGCTCTTTTTCACAAGTTCACAACAAGAGGCATCACACAGTTCTGAGACTACATGTAACAATGGAAATAGGTTCAGAGTTCAGAGTACACGTCTTCACTGAGGGCTTTTTAAACCCTAGTTACCAACTGCCAGCACTGTACTCTGTTGTTGTGGTTTGCGGCAGCAGCAGCATAAGTGTTCACGAGGTATTAAGACATCAGAGCTGTTGTGAGCTACAGCATGGAGGTTTTTTCCGGTCTGGTGTGCATGCTGGGTCAGTATTAGAGGAAACTACCATCCAGTCAAGTGCCAACTCATGTCAGCCAGTGAAATTTTGCAGAACTTGTAAAGTACACCAGAATGCACACAACTGTAAGGGCATCTTGTAAATGTGCACTGTGCTAGTGTTTAAAGTGCTGCAGACAGCTGAAGGGCTTTGTCACACATTCCTTTCAGAAGTCAAGCCAGACGTCACTGGCACTTCTGATTATGAGATACAACCAGTAAGTCTCTGAAATGGTAAACCTTAGGGAAACAAGATAAAATCAGAATTATATCTGTACCGGTGATTACCTTCACACGCAAATGTTTAAAATGCATTTAACATACTAGGAAAAAAAATCATCAAATATAAATGCCATATATGTGCCATAACTGTTGCACAGGTCACATTTTACGTTTAACTTTTTTCCAACATGTGAAATGTCAGCACATAAACAGAAACTGTGTTTCTTACTTAAATGTGCACTCTGTGTGTTCTCTGTACAGGATGTGTTATTTTCGTTTAGAACATCAACAAAACGTCATTTGAGCAAACTTTTGCATATGACTGTATCTGCTTAATGTGCAAAAATCTCTCTGTTGTATTCGCTCTACTGTAGCCCTATAAAATAAAAGTACCATTTCTCTGTAATGTTAATCCCGTAGGGCTGGGCATTGTGAGCAACTTCACAATGTGATAAGTATCACGGTACAAGCATCACGACATGAAATGATTCAGTACATTGATAAAGCACACCTGACGTACAGAAACTACAGTAATAATGAATAAATAAGGTTAGGGAGAATGATAATGACATTTTTATTAATGCTATCCTTAACATAATTTGTTGGGTTTTTTTTGTACTCCTGTACACTACTAACGAGGACTATACTTGTCTCTACATCAGTTAGCAAAAGATACTTTACTCACACACACAACAGCACATGATAAACTAATAAAGTTTCTTCACTCTGTACTCCATTTCATTTTAACGTGGGCCTAGTGGTAGAAGAAATGGCCAGCAATCGGAAGGTTGTGGGTTCAAATCCCACTACTGACTGGGTATTCCTGGAAGTGTCCTTGTGCAAGACATTTAACCGCCACTGAACGTATATCTGCTGGCGACACTTTGCTGTTCCCTGACAGGGCATAGTTGGGCGGCAAAATGACAAATTACCTCTGTATTACCAATAAAAATAACATACTGTATATGTCACTCTCTCAGAGTTGACTGCAGTATCTGTTTCATTCATGCATACACACGCTGTGTAGAAGTAAATACATAAATTAATACAGTATCACTGTATCACAATAACAGCAATGAGCAGAAAGATTATTACCTGTCTAATGGCAAAGGCCACTCCCTAAGGAACCCAGACGTCATTAGCTATCAAACTTCACTGCTCTTAACCCTTATAAATCACAGATATCAGTAGCAATAACAAAAACATGATGCAATTTGAGATTAACTATCTCACTCTCAGCTCATTGAAACAAGTAGAGATCTTCTACCAAAAGGGCTGATGCTAAACTTTCCATCAATAAGTAAGTAAGAACATGTAAGTAGAACAGGACATATTTGATTACAATCTGAATTTGAATAATTCATCATGAGTTACTGTTGTGTGAACAGTCTTGAACAAAAACATCTATGTTTGCCACAGTTATTTACTGACATAAAAATACATAAAAAGTCAGAAGATTCAAACCAGTCAGTACTGAAGGTAAACTGAAGGTGAATGTATTTAATTTTGTAAGTAATTATGTAATTAAATACATAGTTACATAGGAATAGCATAGCAACACAGCAGTTTCTGAAGACATTTGTACTTCCCAGGCTAACATGATGCTTGTGATCTCTACAGGACACCATTGTGGACCAAGCCAAGATCCATGGGACATGTGCTTTGGTCAGCTGTTTTTTGAGGTTACACTGCTTTTCAAAGAAACAAGACACCTCTACATCACCTTATACCAGTGCTGAGTAAGCACATCAGTGCTGTGAATGTTTGGCAACTAAGTAAACTAAAACATTCAGCTGAGCATGTAAAGACAGGTGGCACCAAACAAATACTGCACTGAAACAGCAATAAGCATACAAGGGTAAAGTGGGTTTGGACTGAAAACACCATCTTCCCATGGAACAATGGTGGTATTCACAATGGACTCAATGAAGTGACAATGCAATTTCCCACATCAATACAAAAATTGCACCATTCCTGAAGACACAGTGGGCACATCTAATACACAGTCCATTTAGGAGTGTAGAACTGAGCAGAAAGACAGTAACATTCTGCCTCTTTGATTTCTTTTTTGCTGGCGCAGAAAGAGCGAGGCTGCAGACAAATAAGACATTTCCAGTCATGAGAGTTTCAAAGAGCAGTTTGAAAGAAGAAAGAAGATTGAGACTGACCTATCTGATGTGAAGAAGAACGTGCTAAATCTGTCACTCACCGTCATGAATCTCAAACGCCAGGCTGGTGATCTTCTGTGTAATAACCATCATAGGTCTTGGGGCAGGAGAAAAAGAGAGAAAGAACAGAGACAGCATAAATACATTTCCTTTCATTCACTGACAAACACACTGGGCCTTTATAGCTGAACTGCCTTATAAAAGCGGAACAATATTAGATTAAAAAAAAACAAAAACAAAAAAAAACACAAACAAAAACCCAGACTGCAATATTTTATTTTTTTACGCTAAATATTAGAATATTCCATAAACAAAAAGAGTAAAAATTAGATGAACTATTCTTAAATGCAGCAATTTATCACTTCAGCATATAACAAAGAAACGGGTGGTCTCTTGGGGTTGGCCTTATGCCTAGAATATAACCAAATTCCTGCAGTGTCTGATGGTCATAGATATAAGTACGAGTGTATGTGATATGTATACGTATGCAAAAATGACTTGAGAAATTTGGACGTGAAAAAACATTTAGCGTTTAGGGCCCAGAGAAGCCGCTGTGTGCTTACGCATACACCTCTTGTTAGGGTTAGAAAGCAATTTTGACATACAGTTGTAAGAAAACGTTGTTTATTAGGGGTTGCTGAAACTGCATACTGTAGGTTGATATATATATTCTTCAGTTCTGTTTTTACTATTTGCTTCAGGTGTTAAACTGAATGGAAATCACAGAATAATAAGCCACTGTTTATCTACAAAAGTAGGTTTACTTAAGTGGATTTATTTGTAAAGACAAAGACACATGGAGTAAACTATAAAATAAACAGGGCCTGACCAACCAAAACACCGATCAAACACAAAGCACACAACCAGGGGTATAAATACACAGGAAACAAACAAGAAACACCTGGGACTAACGAGAGAGCAGGGCTACAGACTGCACAGCAAAAGCACAAGGCAAAACACACAAGGAGCAGACACAGACAGACAGAAACAAAGAAAGGCAAGGGCAGAGCAAGACAGGATGTTACACTGTTGCTACCAAAACATATATTTTCTGCAATTAAGTAAACTATTTTTTGTCTTAATGGAAAAACATTATCATTTAATGTGTGTACAACTATTTGAAGCTGTGTTTGCTAGTAATGTACTAGCTAGCGTTTTTTGAGTTATGTTGAAAATTAGCAAAATTTGTCTCTACAAAAACTGTCACTACCACACCATTTGGTAAAGTTCTGACAATGTTATGATTGTTGTGTCAGTGCCAAAATGGAATGATTGATAATTTATTTTAACAAAATAAATATACAGACATTAAAAGCAAGCAAGAGTCAGTTAAAAGTCTAAAGTGTGTTTTCAACTATGACTTTGAACCAATTCAGTAGAATTATTCATATACTGTATCAGAGAGGTTAACCATACTGTAATATAAATTTTTGACCATACGTTGTACTACTACTACTCTAGCAATGGAACGGCTGTGTTTAGAAGGAAAATTAAGGCCATCGTTTAATACTCTGGTAAGGACTGCATGATACATACAAAATACCATATTGTGATATACCTTAAAATATACTGAAAACACTTTTGAGAATCCTTGATGTGAAGACTGGTGAGCGTTATTTTTGACCAAAATGGATTTTGTTGTTAATGCTTATTGGACCATGTGAATGCCCTGATTCATCAAAACACCCAAATAACATCTGTGATTGGTCTGGATGCTCATAGCCCACAGTAAAACATTCAGTCATTGGTTAGGGGCTCATTGGCATGTTGCACACTTTTACAGTGTCAGTACTGCGAAGGCTGAGGTCACAATAATTATTAACTGATGATATATCACATAGCCATAATACCCTGCAATTAAAACAATAAAAACAAATTAAAGGAACAATAAGGAACCATGCCAGAGCAGTTATAGTCATTTATGACTTTGCCACTCTTTGGAATATGGCATGAAATCAGGTTAACCGAAACAAAAATAGACCAGCATTCTGACTAAGCAAAACTCAAGCAGATCTTCAGGCAGATCTACTGACAACTCACAGTATTACTGAGGTCAAATCTTGTGCTTCACCATCTTGGCAGGCTTCATCTCACCTGCCTCAAGAAGATAGCATTGCTCCATTGCTCTCTCCTCCAATCCTTCCTCTCTCTCCCTCTCTCTGATTCCTGCTTTCAGCTCTATCACAGTCGTCATCCATTATTCATCCTGCTACACCGCCAGTGTCCACATGCCCGTTACAGTCCAACAACTTACTGAGCATGAAATTCACTCAGCTCCAAGCTTTTCTCGCTAGCACTTCACTTCTTTAAAAAGTACAATCATAATGCCACACAAATGTGGCAGAAGGATGTATGTATACAGAAGGCCTTACTGCAGAAGGTGGACAGTGAACACAATCAGACTGGGCTTTAGCCAAGGTTAATTTAAAGTTGGAGTATATTCAAGCTGACTGAATAATATAGCTAGTGTTATATGTACACTTAATAGAAGGTTTAAATGAGTTACAGTGCACAGGCCAATGCTTTAGAATAGGGCTATTAATTTAAATTGCTCCTTCAAAGCATAAGTCAAGATCAGATCTTGGCACAATCTACTGAGCATAGAGCTGGGCGATATGGCCAAAAATGTTACCACGATAAAAACATTTCATATCGGTCAAAGTCAAATCATTATTTCTTTCAAGTTTGAAGGCTGATATTTGCACCTGAGTGGTTAATTGCTGTTTTAAACTATCCTTTATGGTCTGAACATGACAAACACTCACCAAACAGTGGAACATTTCACTAATCTGTCATGGGAGAGTGGGAGAAAGTTTCTGGTGAGCTGTTTTTACCAGCTGGAAAAGCACGGCCGCAGTTTTTGTAATCGTCATAATTTAAGAAAAAAAAAAAACAGATTTTTTTAGCTGTGTGGTGACGAGTGCTCGGCTATCTGGTTACAAGTGCTAAACAGTTTAGTTTCTCAACAACAATAGCTTAATACGAACAGCAAATGTTAGCTGGCTCAGTAGGTCAGTGATGGATCACACCGCCTTACTGTTATCACTCCTACTACATCCACGTCAGAGCATATCACAGTATTCAAACACCAGCTGGCAGACATCTGGGTCTCTCTATTCTATCATAACTTAGTAGTTTGAGAGGTGAACCGCAATATATCTGACACTCGCTGTGTAAAAGCTTTAACTGCAGTGTGATTCTCTCGCAACAGAGTCTTCCTTTTAGGTACATTTAAACTGAAATCAGCGCTTCTTTTGTTGTGTTTGATCTACAGTAACATCAATTCGCCATGCTGTGCGAGTGACTCGAGCGCTACTTCAAGTTAGCCAGCTGCTAAGGCAGCTAGCCTGGGAAGCTAGCATATTCCCAATCTCCAATGCCACACATGAAAAATCGCATCCTCAGTTTACTTTCGTTTAAATCAGGGCTGTATCTTGCATGAACCCACTTCTTTCTTTCACTTCTGTTGCTTGGGAATGCACTAATACTAAAATATGATAATAATACTAATAAGTGCCGTAACAGCGCTGTAGTTGTGTGGAGCAGACGTGATTTAACGCTGATAAAGCTTGTTAGGATGTAAGGAAAGAGGTGAGTTCACTTTAAGACAGTATAGTTACGCCACTTATCTTGTCACTCACGCTTGGTCACAGCAGAACAGATGGCCAATCGCTCCACTCAAACAGGGAATATATGCCATGTTTCATACACTGCCGAAGTATATTTGACGACTCGTTTTACTCGTCGCCCCCTCCCTCTTTCCCATGTTGGGAAAGAGAGGTGACAAAGAACTAGAGGCCTAACTTCATCTTAATCTACTGGCTACATGACATCAAATATTAAAAGCAGAGTTATGAAAATGTAATACTTCTGTGCCGTGCGGCCCCGATGACGGCCACAAGAGCTGGTAGGAAGGCGGGGCCCGAACCCCAAGCGAGGACGAAACCCCGCTAGGACAGGGAGAGTGGGACAACTTTGAGGGAGTGGTGGACGGAGCACAAGTCTTGAGCCTCGCACGTATTTATAGTAGCAAATTTCGTAGCATCATTATGAGATGCAAAAAGAATTATTACCAAAAAATGTTGACTTACTATAATTTATGTGATTTCCATTTCTTTAAATTAGTTCACACCACAAAGCATGTAAATTAAGGACTGCACTGAATGCACTTGCAGAGAACAGTGTTTGAGTGTTTCACTGTTGATCTGCTGCTGCTCAAACTGTTTAAACAAGTCTATGCTGGTCAGTGCAGGAGAGCAAAGGAAAAGGAAAAGCATTTTTAATCAATTCTTATTCTCATCATCATGATTACTGTGTTTGATTTTCATGTTAGACACTTTTGTGTTAGACACTTCCGTTAGACACGTTGCAGACATATTTAATATTGTAATAATTTAGATCTCATTTTCTAAATGTATGACTATTCAAAATTCTCACCCATCCCTACTGACTTCGCATAGCTACATGTTCCTTTCATGCTGCACTCTCTGTTGAACACTGCCACAAAATGTGTTATTTTTAATGAGATAAAACTTTACTATTTTATTTTATAAAATTTGAACCTAAAATTTGAAACTTGGGATTTACACAGCTAAAAGAATTCCAACATGCTTGCCACAAATCTGACAAATTCATATGCATACTCTTCTCATAAAGTAGACATTGTTTGATCGCAGCTGTGGTGTTGTGCTAGATCAACTTACCCAGTGAAGTCTGCCGAGTACATTCCATAGTCGAAAACATAGACTCTGGTGATCTGGCAAAGTGTGAGGTAACCCAGGGCAACCACAAAGCAGTATCTACAAAGAGGAAGACAACAGAGAGGACATCCTGAATGAGCTACACCCCACTGGAACAGGAAGGAAGACAAGGCACTAAGTGCTACATAATCTACTGTCCCATTTTAGAAGTTGTCACAAAAACATGGATGAGTGATTACAGCTACTAGAGCTGTCCATTGCTGACAGTCTGGGCTGGACAGACCAGGATCATTTAACCCTTCACTTAACTACATAGTAAGGCCTGACCAATATTTCAGCTTGCGCATAATTACACCCAATATTAATAGCTTGTGGGTTTATCAGTATGTTCTTTGATGCAAAGAAATCCTTTTACTTTTCATAATGGTTTCATACTCAATTGCTAGTCTTTACAGAGACCGCTAAGCAGGCAGTCACCACTTACACACTTTTATCACATCAATATGGGTTGACGTGGTACATTTGGACACAAAACACCACAGTTAAAATGGCAAAAACATGTAAACTACATCCAACCTAAACCAAACCAAACCACACATTTAGGATGAGAACAACATGTTATAATACATACACAACTTTCAAATAAGAGAAATGTAGAAAAATAAGAGCTAATTAACCCTTAATTAAACCTCATATCTCGCTGGCAACACATTCAAAGACTTTTTCCTCTTTAACTTATTGAACACGTGTATGGTTATGATACACGTATGTCTACATTAAGAAAAGTAAAGTGTATAAGCTATTAGAGTTTGTTCTACAGTGAACAGGATTTTTAATAAGATTAACAAAAGAAGCACGCTTAAGTGTGAACTACTTCCCTATTGAATTGATACAGAGTGATACAAAAATAAATAAATAAATAAAAATCTACCATCTGTTAGTTTTGTTAGCTTTTGCACTGACCTCAGCATACTTCTTGCGAAATGAAATTCTCGAGGGTTGTGCGAAGTCGAAAGCTCCTTTGTGAGCTTACTAGCTCGCATACTTTCTGCGTTTTCGTGTTGCCTGTCGTGGACGCTCTACGTTACTATGACATTTTATGATAAGTTTCATGACTGCTGGAAAACGATTCTTTCACTGTTCTAACTACGGCGACGTTTGAGTTCAGAATGCTGCCACCATTTCAGGTGGAACGGGAAAATTCGAATAAGAAGCTGGTGAACAGAAAGCCAACTTCAGCCTCGTCCTCTTGTGAACCTAAATATAAGATAACCTGTATGTTTTGGTGCGTAGTACTAGTTGGAACTACCGAATAATAGACTTAACGTCTTACAATTAGGAGATATTCATTGTTTATTGAACAAATGCGCGTTTCACAGTGAAATATTAGTGTTTGCGCCAAAGCTCCTCAAAGTCATCCATCTTTGTTTAGAGGCACGCCTCTATTTTACCGACCAGTCAGAGGCTTTGTCGCGTAGCATGTTCGTCCACGAAGTTCGCCCAGCTGCCATGTGCGCGACATGGCGAATGAAGCCTCCGCACAACGTCTGCGGTTGTTCTTTTCTCCACAATTACTTCATATTGTTCGCTGAAGCCAGGCGAACGTCATCTCTGCAAGAAGTCTGCTGAAGCCTTTAATCAAACTTGGACCACAATACACAGTCATAAGTTTGGGCACCCTGTTTAAATTATATGCTTTGTTGATGTTCTAAGTGAAAATAAGTTAGCCCATTTTTTAGAGAAAATCATCTTAAAAGTTTATCTTTTAAACAAAAGACTATTTTGCCTTACAACACCCTGCATGAGCTAAAAATATATTCCAAAAATACATTTTACATTTACGGGATTTGGCAGACGCTCTTATCCAGAGCACCTTACAATTTGATCATTTTACACAAGTGAAGGAAGTATTAGGAGTCTTGCTCAAGGACTCTTATTAGTATAGTATAGGTTACTTGTCCAGGCAGGGGATTGAACCCCAGTCTACAGCGTGGAAGGCAGAGGTGTTAAAACCTTATGTCAGAACTATCAAAAAATCTAAATCTCAAATGTTAGGCAGCTTATTTAAAACCATTTCCTGCAATAATCCTTTCACCACCACTTTGTTTACATCTTAAGCACTTAGCTATGCAGATTTTTTGAAAAATCATTGGAATTTTTAAAATATGTAGAGTTTAAGAGGTTAATATAGAACAAAACCAAGAGTGACAATATTTGAATCATTTAGATCAAAATAGAATCATTCATATGTAAGAGAAATGCACATATCCTGTACTTTAAGCAGAAAAGAAGAAAGACTGCAGGCTGTCATTGTCACCTCTCTAAAAATAGTACCATGATCACTTTGATATCACTGATATTCCAGATGCTAATTTATGCAAGATGTTTGCATTCTGACTACAAGAATGAATTAGTGAGCAACGTGCAGGAAAGAGGAAATAATCCTGTGTACGTTATAAATCTGACTGTTTAGCTTGACTAACTGCCAGCAAGAGGACTAAGAACCAAAACCAGACATAAAAATGATTATGGAGGGCTGTTTTCAACAAACTGTCATCTTGAACCCTGGGCCTATTATCAGTTATTCATATTAAGACTTGCTTTTCAGTATCTGCTATGAATTATTCTATAACGCCTGTAAGGCCACATACAGACTGTTTGGGTCTAAATGGGTCTACACTGTGGTTTCCTCCAGCCAGCCACTTCAAACAGCTCCACCATGTTAAGCCTGTTGAAGCTTTGGCCTCCGCCCCAAAAAACAAACATATCTGTGGAACAGCTCCAGAGAGTGAGCCTCTATCCTCCTTGGCAGATTCCTAAGCTACATTCTGAGGGAGGACGACTGGCAACGACTGTTAACTCCAAGACTTCTAACAATGCCAGTTTAGCACGTCCCCAGACCCACTGGTGGCATTCGGAGGCAGCGGCCGCCTTGCCACAAACACTGGCTCTCTTTTTTCAGGCCGTGGCTCCGCTGTGAAAGGCCTTGTTCTGCTGGTAAGCGTGCTGCTTTGTTCTGCGTGTCTTCCCTCCAGCTGCACACCGGACAGAGCTGTTCACTGTTGTGCAGAACAAGAGGGTCACCAAGTTTGAATGCTTAATTTATTTAATCAACGGAATGACATTATCATTACTTTACAGGGGGATTTAGAAAGATTGATTAAAATTATTATACAGAATATCAGGTGACAATCATATGGCACACTGTTCCACTCTGACGTAAAAGCAGCTTCTGTCCAGAATTACAGGGAGAAATATGATTCTGGCAAATATCCCCTCTGGACCCATTTTAAGAATCTTTCTTAAAAGCTCTTATTTAGTGCAGATTTATTTATGCCTAATTCATTTATCTATTTATTTATTTTTACTTCATATTTTTGCTCCATGATCATCATGGTGTTCTTTTTATTTCTCAAAAAGCTAGCCCTGAATCTTCCTTTAAAAAACTTGTATCATTTCAGAAATTAAATGTATTTGTAAATGCAATTAATAAACATGACAACTTCTCTATGACTTCATATTAAAGAAAAAAGGAAACCTGAGATGAAAATTCAGCTTTTTATCTTGATAGTTCACGTCCTTGATCACATTGAGGCTGATGAAAAATAGGTCTATTTATGCCATTTTATCTATACCTTTCCATTAATAACATGATTTCTGAATGATGTTGCATTCAGAATTTAGTTTTTCTGAATTTCTGAACAAGGAAACACATGAATAGGAATATGTCACATCAGTTGCATTTTATTGTTACTCAAATTAAAAATATAAATAATAAAAGTTTACCAATCCAAACTGCACTCTGGTTGAGCTTTCACAAAAAGTGAAAGCCAATTTTACCAATCCAAACTGCACTCTGGTGTGCACCTTTCACACAATGATAAAAACAATTTAACACACAGAATGTTCTGGTTTTACATACTGAAACTGATGAAATGATTTACTGCTGCCAACAGGAATGCACACATAGAGTAACTCTTCTGGCAGCAGAATTAAATGAGCAGCTTTCTTTGCTGTTGGGTTCATATGGTTAAACACAGTTCATCATGTCTCATTTCAAAGACAAAATTCTTGTTTTGCCAGATTCTTCCACTAAAATGCCATGACTTTTGCCCACCCGTAAAACAGTTTTCTTACCTATAGTTACATCACTGTTCACAAACAGGCAAGGAAAAATAATATTAACAAATATCATGCTTCACCTTCCCAACCCACCATCCTCACTTATCACTGAGTGAACTCTTAGCTATCTCAGAGACCCTCTTTGATGCTACGTTTCGCTTGGAAATATATCACAGTAAGGAAGGAAAATACGATTTGCATTTATGTGTCTTTAAAATAAGCATGAAGTAGGAATCCCTGACACAAGCATTAAAAAACAAATTCAGCTACGTGGAACAGTCCACAATCATATACTGCTATACTGCAACGTCTGTGTAGTTATGACAGTTCCTCTGGTCGAAAATTTTCATTTTAGGCAAACATAACCCCCTTGGTGAGTGAAAGCCAACTGCTCATACCACAGTCCAATCCAAACAATGGCTGCATTAGAAATTCATCTTTTTGTGTGTACGGCCAGTGAGCCTTCATTCAGCAGTCAGTGGAGTGTGAAGAGGCAATGTTCTGAGCTCTACACAGTGCAGGTCTTCACCCAGCCACATGTGCAGTCAAGCAGATGAATGAACATGCATTATTTGTTCACAGGCTGCACACAAATACCGCCATTGTGAGTGCCCATGAATCAGAATAAAGCATCACAGAATAGAGTATTACAGTGCACAAAAGTCAAACTATCAAACGAAAACCTGATGTGTGTTTGTTAGGTGAAGGGAACTGCAGTCATATAAAGGTGTACAAGGTAGAAGAGGCGTATTGTTAAATCCTCAATATGGCTTTTGATGTATTTTATCTTTAGTACTTTTCATGTAATTGATTGTACAGCCCAACCGATATGAAAAAATTGTGCCCGATACCAGTTTTAGTGGGCTAAAAATTCTGATAAACAATTATATTTTAGATTTTATTTTAGATTTTATTTTCATACTCCTATTTTAGTTTAACAGCGCTTGATCTATTAGTTTGTCACACTTTTTAATCTC